GATGTTAGCTACAATTTTTGCAAGCTTTTATTTAACTTCACTTGTTTGATAGTATGTGTGTATAGTATACTAAGTGACATATAAATTCGAACACCCAGTTTAAATGGTTTTATTTTAATAAAAGTTGGTGAATGTATTTATCTTACTGTAAATAACAAGTGAAAAAATTTTCAGCCTTATCAGTTGGACATTCCGGTTTTTATACTGATTTTTTTTTAATTCACTAACGCTCTAAAAATGAATATTTCAGCCGCAGTAAAGAATCAACGTTGGCGGATTTTGGTTCTTGACATCCTTTACGATCGGTTACGATGCCTAGAGTACGGAGACCTGAACGATTTCGTCAACTTAGTAAGTTTGATAGGGGTCGTATAGTGGGACTTCGGGAAGCTGGACTTTCTTTTCGGGCAATTGCAGTTAGAGTGCAAAGAAGTGTAGACACTGTAGTTAGGTGTTGTCAGGCATGGCTTCGAGAAGGCCGTCGCAAAGAGCAAGGGGCACTGGACGCCGTCGTAGAATAACAGACCGTGAAGATTGCCGCCTAAGATTATTGGCCTTAAGGGACCGTTTCTCCACTACCAGGTCCATTGCGAATGAATGGTTTGCAGAACACGGAAGACCTATTGGCATGCGAAGTGTTTACCGACGAGTGAGAAGTTTTGGCTTGTTTTCATACCGGCCACACTGGGTCCTCCCTTTAACTCGAGAACACCGACGTAATCGCCTTGAGTGGTGCAGACAACGGTCACTCTGAGATCAGGAATGGAACAGTATTGTCTTTAGTGACGAGTCTCGATTTTGTTTAGGCATGCACGATGGTCGTGCCAGGGTTAGAAGGCGACGTGGTGAAAGGAGGAATCCACAGTTTTTTGTTGAAAGACATGTTCATCACACTGTTGGAGTTATGGTTTCGGGTGCTATAGCTTATGGTTCCAGGTCACCTTTAATCTTCATCAGAGGTAACATGATCGCGCAGCGTTATATCCACGAAGTTCTAGAACCCCATCTTTTACCCTATCTTGACACCCTGGCAGATCCAACTTTCCAACAAGATAATGCCCGACCACATGTTGCAAGAGTCACAATAGACTTCTTTCAACATAATGATGTCACATTGTTACCATGGCCACCAAGATCTCCCGACTTATCCCCAATTGCAACGTCCTCCTCAGACTCTAGAAGCACTTCGAGAGGAGTTGGTGGTTGCCTGGAATGAGATACCACAGGAGGACATTGACCACCTGATCAGAAGCATGCCTAGGCGCGTTGGAGAATGCGTAGCACATCAGGGTGCATCCACACATTATTAAAGGTCAAAGGGCTTTAAAGCAGTGCAATCATTTTGAAATTTTTATCATTTACTTATTATGCTTCATTAAGTACTTATACAAAATTTTATTAAAATAAAACCATTTAAACTGGGTGTTCGGATTTATATGTCACTTAGTATATGAATATATCTATCGAAATTTTATAATAAAAAAGTAAAAAAGTACATTTTCAAAAACATGCTTTTGTTTAGCTGTTAATACAATGAATTAACTAAAAATTTAAAAATAATTTTGTCCGATATTAAATATTTACACGATTGTGACGCTCCTTCATCACAAGTTTTCACACAAAAGCGTGTTAGGTTTTTTCAGCAGTACGGAAATGTATCTTTTTCATTTTATTTATTGTGAAATAATTACCGTTAAATACATCTTACTCCATTTCTTCTGGTGTTGAAAAATTGTATCTCAAGCTTAACCCCTGATCCAGGGAATAAAATTGAAATACAGCTATTTGATATCATAAAAAGAACAAAGTTCTTGAACACTAAATGGAATATGGTCGATGATTTCACAAAAAAATGTAGATAAGTCTTTTGTCACTAAGACCTTGACATGCAAACATATTATCATTGAGAATGGTTTGTCGACGAAGACCTGTACTACATACTTCACTGTCATTTATGTGAATCTGCTCTGGGAAGAGTTTGAGCCTTACTTTACTCATGGTACTAAGATATGGTTATATTAATTTCCATGATACAAAATTCCACATCGTATGTTGAGCATTTCGATAAAGTGTGTGACTATACTTGCTGTTCCTACTATCTGAGCTCTTTGGCTGGTTATCCTTTCATGTCTTATAAAATGCCTTAATTATATGTAACCAGTAATTATCATGGAATACCGTCAGGACGCTAGTAAATATACTAGGAATTTATGGTCATCCCAGAAGACCAATAGACCGTAAAGGGTTAAAGCCTCTACATAAAAATTGCCTCTTGGAGGCTTTCGCTCAAAATAGAAATTATTTTATTAAACATTATTAATCGAGCTGCCATGGTTTGTGAACATAAAAAACACCAAAAGACACTTTTCAAGAAAAATCAATATGGCTTCGAGAAAACGACGCCCATCTTGGCAGAAATCAGTGGCTTACAATCTTTAGCTAAGCATATTCACTGAAAACCACTTACGTCGTAGTGTGTACGAGAGAGAAGCACGAGAAGTGTACAATACGTGTGTTAGAAATCGATAGAAGCACCTCGTTGCCCAGCAACCCGAATACCAAGACGCGGATGCCGTTGGCGCACTCTTTCTAACATACATATTGCACGCTTCTCTTGAACCTCACTGTATATTAAAGCAACGAAACTTTCCGGGACTATGTTTATAAATACATAGAGTTTTTCGTGCTATTGTTTTTCTGCTCCGTTATGATCTTCCTTATTTCGATTAACCCTTCTCTATTATCGAAATAAGAAAAAAGCACCTTTATTTACGGAGAATGAGGGAGGGTTTATTTCATAATGTTATTTTTTTTATTCGGCGCTGATGCCGGAATTCGTGAAGCTGGGTATGCTTAATTAAATTAATTTCAAGTTCTAAAAACATGTGTTGTAAAATATAAATAAACGTGAGTTTCAGATCACAGATAAAAATAAACGCAAAAACAGGCAGAGTACCGAGTCCGGATTTATCTTATATTATTCAATGTAGCAAGGTAGCCTTTTATTGTAGTTCTGTTGGTTTTGTGGTGATTGTGGTTCTATGATTCTAAACCTATTAATTTCTTGGCCGGTTTGGATACAAATATCACCGAAACTGTTTCACGAAAAGTTTTTTGAGATTTTCGGTTAGTTTCGTATGAAAATCGAAAAAATAAGCAACCTGTCATGACTGTCAAATTAACACCCGTCACTTTAGTGGTCATAAAAACCCTTGTTTTTCCAACCATCCTTATTTGCTATCGCTGTCAAAAATAACGCAACAGAAGGGTTAACGATTCGTTATTTCTGTTCCACTACAAACTCTATTGATAACTTTTCCCGTATTTCCACTGCTGACCTTTCCCTTAGTTTTTCTTGACAACATATTGTACACTCTGTAAAAACCTCTCCTTGGAAAATGAATAATTGTTTTGTTCAATCAAAATGGAAACAATATACAACAGCAAATTTTTTTATATCTTTATACTCTTAGACAATCCTAGAATTACACAATGCTTATCACAATCACGCGACTAATCACAGGAACAATAATAGTATAACTTATAAGCAGTACACTATCGCAAATCAAATAAAAATTTATCGTGTAAAATTTTTCCTTTTCTCTATTATCCTACTTCTTACACACGTAGACCAGGCGAGCTTTGTATATTAGGCTAACCAATACAGGGTGACTGTTATGTAACTGACTGGTTTGAATCTTGAATATTTGCGAAATGAAATAAAATACGTCCATTTTTTTTCATCTGATTCTTTTATTGAAACTTAGAAATTATGTATGAAAAATAATATCAGACATAATATTTAGAAGCCGCGCAAACCTGAGCCCTCTTGATTACACTTTCCATCCTTTTTGGTAGGTTTCGGGAGGTATAATTTTCAATCGCTTTCGTAATATTGTTCTTCAGCTGCTCTACAGTATTTGGTTTGTTGTCATAAGCCCTATTTTTCGAAAATCTCCATAAAAAAGTCAGGAGCCGTTAAATCTGGTGACCTTGGTGGCCAGTTGACATAACCAAATCGAGAAATTAAACGTCCCGGAAATATTGCTCGCAAAAGATTGTTTCCCTAGCTGTGTGATAAGTTGCTCCGTCATGCTGGAACTACATGTTTTGCAGGTTATATTGTTGGATTTGAGGAGCCAGAAAGTTTTGGACCATGTCACAGTAGCGCTCCCCGGAACAGTAACATGATTACCTGCATCGTTTTCAAAGAAGTAAGGTCCAATTACACCTCCATACCAAACACCGCACCAAACTGTGACTCGACGATGATATTCATAGTGGTCGTTGATCGATGACACGAGGGTTCTTTAATGGCCAGATACAATTCTGCTTATTAACAAATCCGTGCATATCAGTGGGTTTCATCGCTCATAACCAGTTGTCGGTAAAAATCGTTATTTTGGGTATTAAGCTGCAATATTGTATGACCGTAATTGAATTTTGTATTCGTAATCTTGTCGTAGCTTCCAAATCGTAGCAACAATCGACTCATTATTTAAGTGGAACGTTTTAACTATACGGACGCGTTGTGGGATCCATGAGGAATTGGACACATGGGCTTTGAACAACGACGCCACCTACTGAAATGCGTGTATAAAAAATGGCGCGCAATTTAAATCAGTTATATATTGGCCACCCTGTATATAGCTTAGTCTGTCAAAAATATTTACAACTTTATGTATGTTACACGCGGTCGGTATCAAGTGAATACTGATATTTATGACTTTAAAATTGTTAACATTGTTTCTATTAAATAACTGTAGCAATTATTCTAGTACTCGCAACATGCAAAATATGGAGAATGTAAAATTAAACTCTGGAATTAATCATGCTATGTTTTCACAGAGATTTAATCCCGAGCAGTTTTTTCGTAGCCATTTCAATAAAATGCCATCTACTAAATAAAGGGGGGCGTGGGCACACAAAACAAAGTATTATAAAAATAATCATATCACATTTATTTAGAAAAAAAAAACAATTTCAAAACAAATGATTATTACAATGGCACCGTCACTCTTAAACGGAAAAATCACATGTAAAAAAGAAATGAATATTTTCCATCATAACAGCCAAAATTTTTATTCAGAGGAGTAAAAAAAGCATTATTCTTTTAAAAAATCCGAAAATTACTTCGATCGTACAGATAGAGACTTATCTTAGAACCTAAATGTATGTACACACCTTAACATGTTATATAAATTGAACGAATTTCGTAAATAACTACGAAATATTCTAACAGTGTGATGGTTATACTTGGGTTTCATATAAAGAGAAAACAAAAAATATATTTATACTAAAATCGTTATGATTGTGCACACCGATTTTGAAAATACGTATAAAACAATTGCAATAATGGAATAGTTATAATTATTTTTAGGGATGCACCGAGTACTACTTTTTTAAAAAGGCCGAGTACAGCAAACTCGGTCAGATTCGAATACCGAGTACCGGGTGCTCGTTGAAGTTATTTCATCTACTGTTAGACATATTAACACTAAACATACCAACAGCTAATACGCACCTATTTCTGCCATAGCCGGTAAAATGACAGGTTGTGATGGATAACGGTGGTCGTGACTCTAAAGAAAGAAACGTCATCCTTGGGTCATTCGTGGACTAACGTTGTCTTGTTTAAATATTTCAAAAAAACTCCTAATCAACGTAAAAAGTTATCGTTTTCTCGTTTTATTGAAAAAAAAAACAATCATGGACGCTGGATTCGTAAAAGTAGAAAGCTCAAATATGCTGAAAATTGACACTTTGATGGTTGGTATTTTTTTGCCTTCAACCTCGATTTCTGTTCTACTTAATCAATACACATTGTTGCGTATATTTATTTCCACGAGCTGTGATCCACAGTTTTCCTGGGCTCTTTATCGACGTGTTTTTACATTCTCTGACGACACAATAAGGGTAATTACTATATTTTTCATGTAAACCTGTTGAAGACATGTTTATATGTTTAAACATTTTAGAGGTTATGCTGTTTACAAATGGTATAATGTCAGAGCACGTTAACATTGGGCCAAACATGGCGGACAGCGTTTTTACCTGTCTAAGAAAATTTTAGGTTTCGATTAAAGTTTTACGGTTTTTTGGGTCTGAAAAAATAGTTTTCATTTTTTTTGGTATAATAGAACAAATGTGAACTATTTAAGACATACTTACAAAAGTGTCAGGTAGCCCCTTAGTAGAGTAAACCGTCGTAGGTTGGGGCGTTTCAGAAGTTTTGATTTTAAAATATATAAAGAGTCGTGCAACAGCTAAGCATATGTTTTTCACTATTGAATTTAGTGGCTACAAAACTGAGTTAAAATTGAAACCATATTTTAATATTACATTTTTGAAACAATCGGTTTTGATATACCTTTCAATTCCTGCTATTACAAAATAAGCACATTTGTAAGGTATTCAAAAGGTATGTACTCGACGTCTTAAACGTACATTTTTGTTGCATGATAGGCAACGCGAGACCCAAGCTGCTCGATTTTCGAAAAATTGCTTAAAAGGATCGCTTTCGAGTCATGGTCATCCCGAACACCGAAATTAAATCATAGAGATTTCTCAACAGGCTTTGGGGAGGAATAAAAGAAACAACACCATTAGATATCAAAAGGCAAAGCCTAAATTATCCTTACATATGAGTAAAGAGTTCCTTTACACAAAATCGGTTACTCGTTATTCCTATTATTTTTCGATTTTAATTTTGGTATGTGGTTTTTGATTTGTTCATAAGGAAAGGCAACAATGCGGTTTTATTTTAAACTCACATAGTAGCTGATTCATGGACTACTGTATTTTTATGAAAACACATGTAGTAGTAACACCTTGTAGATGAAAAAATTGCTGCGCAAATACCGTGAATACACTGACTAACTAGAGAAGACATGTTTACTAAAAAATCAGGCAAAAGATTCCGGCAAAGATATACTTTAACCTTAGCTAATCTGTTTGACGATGTTTTCATTTCTTACAGAACATATCAGAAAGGTATGGGAAAAGCATATGGGCTAAGACTTTGGACGTCACACATGCAATTCGTTAATTTACAAAATTTTGGTGTCTTGCGTTTAGACCGAGTAATTTCTCGGCGAAACCGAATACTCGGTAAAATTGGACGAGTACCGGGTACAAACTAAGTACACGGTGCATCCCTAGTTATTTTAGCAACGAGGCGAATTCATAACAGCACGCGATCTATCAATTATTACGGTTTTAAAAAACCTTTTTGCGAATCAAATTACAAGTACGATATTCCTGCCTACCATCCATGTTAAATTTTTGAACATTTTTTCAACGTATCTGTAGTATATCATGATGCTTGGAAAATGGATTAAAACAGCATTAGAATGGTTTCTCAATACCGGATAGACATTATTAATATTTATTGTGATAATATTTACAGAGTAAACTTACATTTGTACTGAAAATACGTGAATATCAATTTACGTAAAAATCAACAATATAGATTATGATATCTAAAGGACACTGTTGATTTTGTGAATAAAGTAAGTTAATTTGAGAAGAATTAATTCGGTTTTCTCATTTTTTTAAAGTAATACGAGTATATGTAAAAATAACATAAAATAAATCGGGTATATTAGCATTTGGGGTTTCAAGATCGATTAATTTTTATTAATATTATAATGGAATATGATGTTTATAGGCGTTTCCTGCGTAACATGGTAATTGCTGAGCCTCTAAATATTGCCATAAATTATTGTTCTTAAAATATTAGTTTGAAGTTCAAAGACAGAGAAAAAAATCAGCGAGATTCTGCGGTAAGCTTGTAGAAGTAGACAATACCGCAGAGGCAAGTAATGTTCAGAGGTAACGAACGGGTATTAAGGTATTTCAAAATTAACCTGTATGTGATTCTTAGGTGTTAGATAGGCTTTGTGTGACTGAAATATAGTAAACCGCGCCACAACGAAAAGATTAGACACATATTTACATGAGAAAATATTTTTATAAAAATCTCGATAAACCAAACTAACCCTAAAATCCGTATCTGATAATATATTTTAGTCATTTAGGCAACGAACACAAAGTTGCTGTTGCCAATCACATTGCTTTCAAATCTTTTCCTTCCGGCATGATCGTCCTTTAATATTGTCTGTCCTTGTCAATAATGTTTGTAATAACTCCAATTTCGGAAAATATGAACGTTGAATATGGTTGTAATATTTAATTATGATAATTTTTTGTAAATATACAAGTTGTTGCTTCGTAAAATTTCAAAATCTGCTCATCCAATGATTCACGTAAACTATTTTGACGATTAGATTGAAAATTATCATCAGTCAAGCATCCTTTGAAATAAAAACTTCCAATACACGATTTAGGGCACGAATTAATATTGAATTATTATTACCTTGACATGTGGCATCCCTCTTGCTATTGCTGATCATCTCTAAACCCGTGATAATGCAACTCAACTTGACTGATAACTTTCCATAATATGCTTCAAGTCTGAACCAGTGTGATCTATAATACAACGTAATCCATCCCTTTATTTTTTCCACCATTACAATTTTTTAAACAATTGTCAAATTCAAACATGGCAAAGAAAGAAAACTATGATATCTAAAGAAAATAATTTCCAAAACTACCACGAAATTCTACGACAGCATTTTAGCTATCTGTTTCAAACTTGACCTGCAAGTTTCAATAGCCGATCCACTCTACTATTCAAAGTTTAATTCTAATTTTCAGTCAACAGCATGAAATATAACTTGTTATGCATATAGCTAAAGAAAAATAATAAAAAACCAATAAAATGACTTAGGAATTAGTCACAGTCGAAAATAAAGACACAACAGCCAAAACACTGATCATTGCAAACGATATCCCCCGTGCAATAGTCATTGCATATCGCACCAAATCACGACTTTCCTGCTCCTGTCAACACTGGCCAAATAATTGCCGTACGAGTTCCAATGCGTCGCAGTGACAGCGACGGTGTGCTCCTTAAGCACGGTCTCCACCTTGGCACTGTTCACGCCCCAAATGTACACGGCGCCGTCTGCACTGCCGACCGCAACGTACTGCCCGTCCGGGCTGAAGGTGGCACGCGAGTAGTCACAGCCTACTTTGAAACCGTCACAGCTGAACAGGGTTACCACCTGGAATAAACAGACGAGGTCAATTAACAGAATAAAATCGACACCCGAAGAAAAGTGAAAAATTCCCTAGTTATTTCATTTTAATAAGTTTTTGTTGTTGTATATTTTACATAACTGCTTAAATATTTCGATATGCAACATATATGCTACTTGGAAGAGGATGAATAGACATGATTAAAGGCTCTTTAAAAATCGTTGATCTGCACGTATGTATTTGTTCACTTTTTCCAGCCGTTGGTTGTTTTAATATATTGGCTTTGTATCAAAAATTGAAAAAAAATCTGCAATTTGACTAATTTTGAATCAAAATTTGAACATTCAAACTGCATTTTCTGATGTGTACCCAAGTAACACATAGGTGGCCCGGCTGATAATGCGAACTGGGATACAGTTCCGAAAGACAGCTTGCTGTTTTCACTGTTGCAGTGGTCGATTCTTGTAATAGATGGCACTTTGTGCTGTCTTATTTCAAGATTCACTGAGTTTAGCTTCAACCTTGTACTTTCACTTCTCACCCATAAATATGATGGTTGCGGTGGAATTTTAAATGACACGTTTTCTTGATGTTTTATGATTACATTTCTCGGAAATTCATTTCATTCAGTCTGTTTGTTGATCTTACTTGAAAAATGAGTTTCGGTGATTTTTCAACAAACCCAATGAAAAATGTTCCTTTCTTTTTCTTGAACAAAAGTTTCAATGGACAAGTTTACCATTATTTGTTATGAGCTCAAATGAAAGTATAGAAAAAATGAAACAAGATGGTGAAAAAATTATTAATTTATCTCTAAAGACAAAAAAGTTACAGCCTATCAAAGTTGCGCCCCGCGAGAATATTTTTATTACGTCTGTACGCTACGCGTGAGGCGTGACGTCACACTTCAGTATCCAGTAGCAACGCCCGCGACCGATTCCTGGGTCCGAGCCGATTCAATCTCCTAAACACATGCATAGGTACACATACAGTGGGACACGATAGGCTAAACGTCTTCCGCCCCAATTTGTTTAAATAGTTGACTGCATATACAGGGTGTCCGCAAAGTTGGGGTTTTCCTTTACACGACGTGTAGATCTTGAAAACATAAGCAATTTTTCTTAGTACCATATACACCAATGTCTTAAGGGAACCGAGATAAAGGGCTCTACAACATCAAAAATATCTGAATACCGTCCTGTAGCCGCGGCTCGCGACATCCCCGAGTGGTACTAGGACACTAGCTCAACCCGACGACAGAACTGGGTCGGGGTCAGTGTGTCAGGTCACTATGCAACCTTCAATCGACGGTTACGGTCACGCGTGTAGAGGTAAACGAACCCGTATAATCGATTGCGTTTCAAAAAACAACAAGCACTAGAGACGTGGCTAGAGAAGTGCAAGTATCAAAAACTAAAGTGTGACAAACGCTGCGTGAAGAGGGGCTGTATCCGTTTCACGTCCAACGTGTCCAAGCCCTTCAACCTGACGATTTTCCAGCAAGAGGGCGGTTTTGTGAGTGGTTGTTGCATCAACATGACAATAATCCGGACTTTTTGAAGTGCATATTGGTGACAGAGGAATCTACGTTCACGCGTAATCGGGTGAATAACTTTCGCAACACTCATGTTTGGTCAGTAGAAAATCCGCACGCTGTCCGTCGGGCACATTTTCAACAAACATTTTCGGTGAATGTTTGGGCTGGCATGGTGAACGGTATGCTCATTGGACCATTTATTCTCCCAAATCGATTGGACGGGATGCAATACCTAGACTTTTTACGCAACATTTTGCCTTCTTTGTTAGAAGATGTGCCATTAAGTGTAAGACAATCAATGTGGTTTCTGCACGATGGTCATATTTGTTACCTCTGTTCGTGGTCTGCACCACCGCCGGCGTCTGCTCGGTAGCGCATCAGCTGATTTCATTTTCTGTTGGAGCGGTATGATTTCGGGCAGAGACATACTTAGCCCTTCTCGTCAACTGGAGAGTGAGTACTTTTTCCTTTATTTTTTTTTACTTGGTCGCCCTCGTTTCACTACACATTACCTTTGTTATTCCAAGGGTAGTTGTTTCTGAAAAGGAAAACCCCAACTTTGCGGACACCCTGTATAGGATCGGTTATGAGCGAAATAAGAAAAAAAAGAGGTTGTTATAAATACTGCAGCGTTCCAAAATGTATGAGTACAACAATTATAACCCCTGATAAACATTTTTTCTACGTACCTTCACTTGAAAATTTAAGGAAGACATGGTGCAAACTTATGAAGCGTGATTGGACCAAAAAGTACAACATATGTCTGTGAGGACCACTTGGATGCGAGTATATCACTTTACTATTTATTTATGATTATTATTATTATATGATCTCTAAGCTCACTTTACTGTACACGCGGCATTTGGAGGGAAAATATTTATCAACTAATATTACAGGTCACTTATTTCAACTCAGCGAAAATAGCTGTGAGCTACTATAGTGTCAAGTAGGTTGACTCTTTACTGTGTGCATGTGCAATGTTATTATATACTTTAATGAGATTTTAGAAAAGTATCGTGTCATATTCGCAAATCTGTACTTATATTAAGCATCAACACTAATTTGTACCTCAGTAGGGTTTCGCACATTTTGCCGCTAGTTGTGATAGTGTAGCAGTAGACTTAGTAGAAAGTTTCACACCTTTTATTTCCGCGCTTGTATATGATGGATTCGAAGAAATTAATTCCACCACTGCAAAAATGTCAATTTTGGGCAAATTGTCACTTAACCCTTTTACAAATCCGGCTTTCATAACGGTATGCATTTACGCAGTACTCAATAGTTATCAACTGGAAACCACGTGTCCGAGCGCCCAGGTGTGTCTTATGAATTGTCTATAGACTAATGACTAAACGCACAGACGATGTCGAACACATACGTGACGAGACGCTGGGTACTGGAGAAGTGTGACGTCAGACGCGAACGAACGGCAGCAATGATTTCGCGCTATAATGCGCCAAATTTAAGTATCAATTTCTCTGTCATTTATTGGCCGATTTCAACAATTTTTTCACTGGCTGATTATATGTAGTCTATATTTTGCTGGTATGTCATTACTTATGCGATTCCGAATATCACGAAACTTCTTCAATGGCACAAACCCTGAGAGTCTCATGTTCATGAATTATAAATCAAAAGATACTAATTTTTGATGCAGAAAAATAAGAAAATTACGTTAGTATCTTACTGACAATGGATGTTAACCTCATTTACAGATACGTCATGACTGGTATGTCTAATATTTCAAAATAGGGAAGTTGATAAAGTATAATACCCTTCAGTATACATTTAGTATCTGCTTACGTTTTACCGCGTTTCCCATAAATTTAACAAGAAATGTTAGAGAGTAAGCTATGTTCTGGTGATGACAAAGACATACATATACAAGAAATCGTTTTTTACACTGTAAGAGCCGCGCAGGCAGAAGCCTAAATGCTAGGGCACCGCGGCTGCTGTGAGGATCACAAACAAACTTTATTAATCCAATTTTTGAACTGCCTAAGGTGAGTAGTACTGGAAAAAGCCTCCTCTTGTACATAGATTGTCCCACAATGTCGACACCCTACGGACAAGGGAGCGGCCGCATCGGCCAGTTCTGGATGTGCGAAGTTCGACACGGTTAGGGTGGGAGGCGAAAGTCAAGCGGGTCTCTCTGGCAGGCGCGACGGTAGAAGAGAGCCAGATCGCCGACGGCCCGCCGGTGTGAAAGGTCTGTTAGAGAAGAGTCGTCGATCAGTCGGACAGCACCCCAGACTTGTGAGCAGTACTCGAGCTAGCTTGACATTCCTTCTTAAATACATGACAAACGCGCCAGTAGTAAATTAGGCACTAACTGTATAGTCAAGAGTATTTTACATATCTACTATGAGCCCCTTCCCACTTCAGTTAGCCCAACTATTGAAATCTTAGTTTTTTTCTTATCAAACACAAATAATAAAAATGTAGCAGGGTGTTATAGGTTTAAAATATTAGCAATGAATATTTTGATAATGTATAGTAGAAAACACCAACTTTATCACTCCCTAATCAAATTTGCAGCATAAAAATAACTTATGTTGCAATTACAGCATATAAACCTATTTTCATTTCAATGCAAAATAAGTCTATAACGCATAGGTCGCTGTGAAAAATAAAAGCCATGACAATTGTTTTTATTAATCACAGCTGTCAGAATACGTTTAAAATAGTTTTCGGTAGTTAAGGTTTTCAAAATGGGTAGAGGAAAGGTTATTAGTGAGAAAATTCGGTTACTGATAATTAAATTTTTTAATTCTGGGAAATCGAACTCAGAAATTGCAACTTTGTTAGACTTATCGCGGTACAGTGTGAGAAATATTGTTAGAAGATATAACGTAACTGGTACAGTTAATATTAAGCCACGATATGTGAAAAAAAGTAATATCACAAATGCCGACCGAAGAGCATTAAGAAGAATAATCGTAAAAAACAGGCGTGCCAATTATTTACAATTAAGTGCTCTGTGGAGTAACGCTGTTGGAAGGAGAATTTCGAGGTCCACAACTCATAGAGAGGCCCACAAACTGGGATTTAGCACTTGCAAGGTAAGTTTTCTTATAAACAAAAGTGAAGTAAAAACCAACAAGTTGCACAACTTGTTTATAGGAAAAAGAAAAGCCACTATTAACTCCACTGCAAAAGAAAAATCGGCTAAGATGGGCTAAAGAACATAGACAATGGACACCTCAACAATGGTGTGCAATACAATGGAGTGACGAGGCCCGATTCGAAGTTTGTGTTGGTGACAGTCGCAGTAGAGTTATTCGCAAAAAAAGAAGCATTCCATGTTGACTGTCTGAAGAGAAAAGTGAAATTTCCAGCATCCATTATGGTCTGGGGCAGTATGTCATCAAAAGGAGTAGGAAAACTTCATTTTATTGATGGAAATGTGGATACAAACAAATATTTGGCAGTTTTAGAAGAATCGCTTTTACCAGTGATGGAAGAATGTTTGACATCCAGCCAAGATTTTGTGTTTCAGCAAGATGGTGCAGCGTGCCATACCTCAAAAAAGGCTATAAAATGGATGGAAGAAAATAATGTACCACTTTTGGAATGGGTTTCTAGCAGTCCAGATCTGTCACCTATTGAAACTTTGTGGCAGGAGATGAAAAAGATTCTACGACAACACTCTGCTCATACAATCACCGAACTGAGTCAAAAGCTTTAAGAAATATGGGATTGTTTTACACCAAATTTTTGTCGAAACTTGGTTAACACTATGCCCCAATGAATTTCAGCCGTAATAAAAAATAAAGGTGATGTTACCCAATGGTAATCTTTCAATTGTTGCTTTATTAACTTCGTGCATTTATTCGCACATTGTTTATTTGTTCAGATGTTCGATTAGTTATAGGTCTAAGTGATTTCAAATATGTATTTTTTACGACTATCGTGTATCTAAAATGTTTTTGAGAAAATAAATTGTTTTAGAAGTAAATAGTTTCGTCATGTTTAATTTATAAAGGCACATTTTGGTACAAATCTTGAAGTGGGCCAACTGAAGTGGGAAGGGGCTCGTATATGCTACTTTGAAATATTGCGAGGTTACCCGATGACGCATACAAATTTCAAATCAAGCCATAAAGTCCTGACTTGACGCCAGTTATTCGCCTATTTTAAATCAACTAGGTACTATACATATTTCTATGCGAAATAAATCATAATCACCTGATTCATTCTGAGATCCAACAACTTGAGCGTGTCATCCCTAACGCAGCAAACCAGGTACTTCGCATCCCTGGTCAAATCCAGGGAGGTCACTTTTCCATTAAGAAGCACATTGTTGCAGCTGGTCTCCGACCGACTGTCCCAGAACCTTATGCTCTTATCAAAATGTCCACTGATGATTATCGAGCCCGCACTGTCCACCGTCACCAAGTCGTTACAACTCGAACCAGCGAATTTTGTCTCTATGCACGCCCTGCTACGGAGATCCCATATTTTCAATGTCCTATCGTGGCTACCCGTCACTACTTTAGACGCCTCGCCGAGGAATTTGGCCGCCATAACTTTGCCAGAATGGCCGGTAAGGGTATGTCGTAAGCGTTGGTCCGCTACTGTCCATACTCTGGTCGCGTAGTCGTTCGACGCACCTAAGATCAGGGAGCCTGAGCTGTCAAAGTCGACTGCCATAACACCTGCGTTACTCCCTACTAAAGTTCCTTTGTTTTCGAAAGTACCTAAAATTTGATGAGTTGAATATCAAAAGTACTTCAGGTATTGACGGTTCACATGACTCCCATTCGATTTAAAGGAATAATGTCAGGTGACGCCCAGTCACCATCTTGAAAGTACCAGCCACAAAACATGGAATTTGACCACCAGAAAATTCGTATAGTGATAATAATAACTTTTACTCAAATTGCTTTTCGGATATGAAACGTCAACAGGGAAAGGTCAGATTTACGTAGGTAAAAAGATATACATGATTAAATTAGAATAAAATAGGTGATAGGTTGACGATCCTCCACTCCGACTCTTTGGTCTATTGTGGCTCAAAAAAGGTGATAACAAGTTATTAAATAAGTAGCAAAAAAATATGTTTGTTTAGAAGAATAAATAGTTAAATAGAAAAATTATGCAGTAAAATATCCAATAAAATAGATAAGTATATAATTATTAAGAATTATAAAACTCTTGCAGAGTAAAAACACTCAGAGAACAATAATTTTAAAAATTGTTTTTTGAAGACCTTTAAGTTGTTGATTGTTTTTAACTTGGAGGGTAAATTATTGAAGATAGATCCACGTAGGTAGTCAGCGCTAAAGGTATGTGCTGAGGCTATAGTAGTATAAACCTGATATCAGAAGAGACTTATAAACACGACAAACTGATAGTGTTAAATTTTTTTGAGAAATACAACGTTCTGCGTTCTACTCTGATAAAGTTGTCGTACTTTTTTATCATCTTTCTAAAATTCATCGAAAAACTACGCAAAATTGGGGAAATCAAAGCCTTCAAAGATAGGCACTCTTTCATACAAATAATAATAATAATAGCGTTTATTTGCAGAGCAAAAAAAATACAAAGAGAAAAAATTAAAAATGAAGAAACAACATGAATTCCCTGCAAAAGGAACTAGTAAACAGATGAGCTGATCAACGAACTAGCCCAACAGTAAATGATAAAATAATGACAATCAAAATCCTACAGTGTATTACATCAATGTTCTTGATTTCAAAAGGTAGTTCCAAATATAAAATATAGGATGTTTCATAAAAAAACATGTTTACGGCATTGTACAACACCCTGTAATTCTCCAAATAATTTAGTAATACACACCTATAAGATGTCAAACCGTTTTCGAATTTCTTTGAATTTTCCTACTAAACTAATTTCCATTATATGTATTCGCGTGATTTTCATTATGTTGTTGAGCTTTAAATAAATATATTACACTAGTTTTCCTAAAATGGTACAGGCATGCACAGGAGCTAAGGCACGAAAGTTTAACACTCTGTATCTCCAATAGAGATCATTACTAAGCTTTGCGCCCATTGGAACATTTGTTCAACACAACTATATGAGTTTTCTTTAAAATTGGCCGGTGATCAAATTCCATATGTTTTGTGTGGTACTTTTTAATTGCAATGTTTACTTTGAAATATAGGATTTGTGCATAAAATTCAGTACCTCGAATTTTTAATAGCTAACCTAAACCTTGCAACAAATAAAAAGGGGGTAAGTGATTTTTGTATAGTACCTACTAGAATGTATGGCTATTTGCGTTACAAAATCGAAAATTACAGTGAAATCATAGTGAATACATATCATACTAAATTTCACTGATTCAATCCATCCATAAAACCGTTTTGTAATATTTTAAATGACAAATATTCCTATTTAACTCGGGGAATGATATAAGCCTGATACACGAAAATAATGCAGACAAAGTAGACAATATATATTATTCACGAACTTACCTTTCGTAATATCCCACAGCTTCAATTTCCTATCCGCCCCTCCAGTTGCCAGAATCCTTTCAACAGGACTCCACTTGACAGCACTAACCTCACCTTCATGAGCATCATACTTGACGTTCACTTTGCTCGGAAGACTAGATTGATTGTACAGAGGCCCCACGCCTTCACTTAGTTCATCTGGAGAACTCCCTCTAGTATCCCTACACGCATCTTCAATGTCTTTCTGCACCTTTGCGTACCGCTTTTTCAGAAAATTATCGTTCTCTTCGTTCATCCTATCCGCGTCCTTCGCTTTGTACTTTATCAGTCGTTCTATCAGCTGCCGGTTTTCATCTTGCAGCTTCCTAAGCTTATCTTCCAGCGAGTTAAATGCCATTTGTAAGGCTTGGTGCTCATCTCTCAGAGTATCGTTGAGATATTTGAGTTCTTTGTTACTTTTGGTGAGCATTTCGACTTCGGCTTGGAGGCTGATGATCTTTGCGGCGCTATCTGCCAAGGAAACATCTTTTGTTGCTATTTGTTTATCTTTTTCTTGTATAGCAATATTCAGATCGATGATCTGCTGTGCGTTTTCGCCTTTTCGTTTATGAAGCTCAGCTAACTCTTCAGCTTGCGCCAACAGCTTCTGTTCGAGCTGTTGGATTTTTTCTTGGAATCGTATATCGCCCAGACTCGAACTGTTTGAGCCCAATCCGCCTCTACCTTCAGATTTAAGTTTCTCATTGAGTATGTTCAAATGCAGATTCTCTGTGTAAAGTGTATTGTAGTTCTCAAAGAGCTTGTTATGTTGTGTGATTAGGTCTTGGTAGGATTTGGTTTGGTTTTGGTTTCTCTCCTGCAATTGATGTAGGATATCATCCCGCCAGTTTACTGATTTCATAGCCATTGTGCATCACATTTTAACACACACTTGTTTCATTTTGAGGTTCGCAGTCTGGAACAATAGAAAAAAACATGTTTATGTCTGTCTTCTGTATTTCACCAAAAACACATACACTCACGCACTCACAGGCACTGTTAGTCATATGTTACCGAATTTGACCGAATCCCAAAAGTTCCACATACATCAATATTAGTAACCGAGTAGAAAAAGCATTGTTACGAATATGCCGGGTTTTTGTAAATATAAATACGAATTCACGTAATTAAATGAACAGCTTTTAATCAGGTGACTCAGAAAATATATGGAAACATAATTCAATAAACAATATTTCAAACTACTGATAGTATAGTTGTGTAGTTAGACTCCAGAAATAAGCTAGTAAGTAACCAATCAGTGTATGACACAGACCATAGTAAAATGGGCAACGTTTATTTGAACATGAACATTTCTAACTTGTGAATGACACATAAAACAGGATAGAAATTAGTACACAGTCAATTTGTTTGAATACAAGGTTGGCAATTATCAACCAAGGATCAGACAACATTAATGGCTACATAGCCATTAATTATAGTATGTGTATTTGTGAATATCGAGCAAACATTATGATGCTGTGTCCGTAGAAATTGTTTTAGATTGCATTAAAGTTTAAATTTTTACAAGTTTGGTATGTTTTACGCTGTACAAGAAAATTCCACCTAGGGTCGATTTTGAAGGACTGGAGAGAACTGTCTCAATGATATGACAAAACATATTGACAGCCAATGACAGTTTTTTAGTATCGCTGAAATTAATGCTAATGATAAATATCAACAGGATAATTTGGATATGATAGTTGGCGACGTCGCCACAGGGCACTGGTGATTGCCCAAGTATCCACAATCTACATTCATATGTACTGTCAATTTGACAGTACATATGGTCAAAAGGGCCCTTTCTAATATGCTATAAATATATTAAACTGATACAAATTCTTGAAAATCATTACTGCCCATACAAATATAAATGATTGATTTTTACATTTTTTCCTTATCAGAAAATTGTTGTTAACACCAAGACCAGCAATGACTTCTGAAAGGCTCAGAATACAGTATCATTGGAAATAAATATCATAATTCTAACAGGTTTTACCATATCTAAATACCCAGTGTCAAGCAACCTCGTCAGCTTTGTTGGCATGCGCACCATTTTATCAAAATTTTCCATGGCCATTTTGTTTAAATATGGCTGAATTCTATCCATGCAGCATTGGATTTCCTTCTTCAATTCACGAGTGTCTGTGGATTTCTTACTGTCTATACTGAACAATATTGATGTGGGTAACATGTGGTTCAAGAAGATGGTGCCACATGCCATAAGTCCCCAGAAATAATTAAATTACCGCATGAGACGTTTCTTGGTTATCAGAATTGCCGACTGGTCTGTGGGCTTCTTTCTGCCTAAACAGGATAACATTGGTGCAGCAAGTTTGTGGTTTCAGCAAGATGATATCTTTTTATGAGGCTATTTGGAGTCAATAAACACCAAAGACATCCATGGAAGTGGAGGAAGCCATACACCTAATCTGCTATTCCATTATATAACCCTATCCGGTGTACTTTATGATTCAATAGAGGAATAACAATTTAAAGGAAAAAATGTGCTTTCTATTTAATTTAAATTTTGAGTGAATTTTTTGAAATGGTGATACTGAATCATATAAATTCCTCTAAATCTATTTGTGGTAGTATTTATTGTCTGTCAGTGGGTGTCAGGAAGATATCTGATAAAAAATGTCCTAGCATCAAATGAATAATATTTTAGTGTCATGTATTGGACAAATTGAAATACTTATGTACATATATGCTATCAGTTGATAATGCACAAGCTACATAATAAACTAAATATCTATCTGATGCAGTGAAAAATAGCTAGAATGACTGTGCCTATCATTAACTAAAGCATAAACCTACTGAGCAAATAATTTCAAAAAATAAAATTACAGCATGTTGTAATAATATAACAATATATATGGTTATAGGTTGCATTATTTAGTGCACTTATGTCATGTGCAAAATGTTACAAAACACAATTTCTGTTACTGTTGTGTCATTAAAATTTGTATTTCACAAACTGGGATACCCTGAAGCTGTATTTTGGCATAAAGCTGGCAAGACTTCAGAGGATTTTATATTTTACACTTTGCATCTAAAAAAATTTTAATTATATTTTATGTTTCTAATTTTTTTCACATATTTAATTGCATTATTTTTATGCTCCTCATGGAAGTTCAGAGATTAGGATTTACAGTAGGGATGCACTGAGTACTACTTTCTTCAAAATGCTGCATACTGGCTACATGGACAGATTCACAGAATAGTAGGTACTCAGTTACTGTTAGTGATATTAATATCATATCTGCGCCTCTGAAAGGTCCCTTTACTCCCAAAATTGATATATTTTACCAATAAATTAACACACTACAAGAAACAGTTGTGCAGCTTAGACAACTTTATGCGGCGTAGCGTCGCAGGTTAGTGTATTTTCAGATGTTTTTTTTTTTTATTTAATAATCTTGCGACAGCTAGGTATGTGTTTTTACTGTGTAATTCAGTAGCAATAATATTGAATTAGAATTAGAGCCATATTTTGACATAACATTTATATTTGATGCACTTTCAATCCTTCCTTATTACAAGATAAACACATTTGTAAGACATTCAAAAGTTGCATAAACATCTTGATCCTACATATCTGTTGATGATAGGCAATGTGATATCCCAAGCGGCTCAAATTTAAAAAGATTACCTAACAGAATTGCTGTCATATGGCCATCACAAACATTGAATTTAAGTCTTATAGGTTTTTGGGCAACTCTTCAGAGGAGCCTACAAAAGAAACACACAATTGCTGGCAGTACCAATTCTAATTTGGGAGGCATTGGACCTAAATTATCCTTATGAACATATGATTAAAGGTTTTCTTAGCAGAAAGGTGAAATATCTGCTATTACTTTTCGACTTTCAGTGCAATCTGTTTAGTTTCATTTGTAGTTTTTGTTGTTTTTTGAGTGCTCTCATGAAGGTGAAAGAGTAAAAAAAAAGCAAAAAGGCAATATTACAATGTGATTTTGATTTAAACTGATATGACATATGCTTCATGGACCACACTTTTTATGAAAGACCATGTAGCTGTAACACTATTTATACATACAAAATTGGATAAACAAATACTGTAGATACAGTAGCTTAGTGGAAAAGATGATTGAAATTTATTCTAAGATTTTGATTTGGCAAAAATATGCTGATACCTTGGCTATTTCTTTGATGATGCATTAATGTCTTACGGGACATATCACGAAGATTTGGGGAAAGCATATGAGCTCAGACTGCACATCACTCATACAATTCTTTGGTTCATGTAGTGTAGTGATTTTGTAGATCATCTGCACCTTTACAATGAGAACATATCAAATAAATATTTCGGTTATGTTTTGTCCAAAATGTTCATTTCCTTATATAAGCTGTAAAAGAAAAATGTACTGTTTTGGAACTATTAAAAATAAAGCAGTCTAAAGCTAGTTATGTCGAAGTATGTAACATAACCCTTCATGGTAAATCAATGCAGCTCAAGCTATACTTATTAATCTTTGTGGTTACACAAATTGTGGGTGACACTTTGGCAGTAGTATCTTCTTGTAGTCCAATGAAAATAGTTGCCTTAATAATGTGTTTTACCTATGCATGAAAATAGACTATGTCTTTATTTTATGAGTATTGATTAAACATTAAACACAGAAAAACTCTTATGATTATGGTTATTCTATGGCTTAGGTTGCATGAACCATTCACTGAAAAATAAATATGAAATAATTAAGGGGAAAGTAAACATTTATAAACATACTGGTGTGGGAAATTACCTGCTGTGTGTAACATATTGTGCTCTGAATATTTTGAATGTGTGCCTCATGCAACTGATATATCTGATGTAATATGTCCATGCAAAGCTCATGCGACACCGAGATCTACATTATAGTTACAAAGGGCCTCTGTACCGAAGACATTTCAAAGTTCATTGAAGTTTCTGGCCAATGAATGGATTCACTGCAACAAAATGCATCATGATTGAATGTGAAATTGCTAGAAAGTATAGTGACTGGTCAAACAGGTATTAAATACACGCTGCACATGAAAAATTGCTTTATGAAAATGTGCCATAACTAATCAAACTAGTTTATATAGAGATTAGAGTGAATAATGTGATGTCTTGTTAATGACTATATTTATTAGGAGGTGTAGTATAGTAGATAATTGTAATCTGGAAATCTTTAATCGCTTACCTAATATTTTTGATCTTGATTGTTGAGAAAAAAATCGCACTTCTCAAAGTTTGCTTCAGTACACAAATGTCACCGTCAAAACGCAAAACCGTACACTTGTCAAATCGATCCTACACTTGCGCCTTTTGGTTAGGTAACCAGTGTTGCCTCGACAGGGGCGGATTCAAACCATTGTTTCACGTCTTCTACCTGAAGATAGCTAATCTAATACTATATTCGTGCGTCGGAAAAATTATCCAAGATGAGATGACATACCGTAGCGTAATTTATGAGAATTTGTCCCAGCTATTTTTCTTCTTTCCGCAATAATTAGGAATCTACTTTGAAAACGTTAGTGTCTCATAGATGGCGCTGTAGCCAACTATATTCAGGGTGTTTCAGAAAGAAGTGCCAATATTTTCAGTTTAGCAAGTACATCCAAAAATAACAAAAAAGTCCTTATAAATATAGTTCCAAAGATGCACCCCTACCGAGATGCAGTTTTCTTTACGAAATTGGAACCAATCAATTTGAGTAAAATTCTGTAATTATCGGCCATATTTTCTCAAAATATCTTGCATTTCGGATTACGTGAGCTCAACAAATCGTTAGCAGCCTTGGCCACGAAGTATGAGGACGAAGTATACCAAAGGTTTTAAACACTGTTCTTATTACGCCAGGTCTTATTTTCCAAAGAATCAGAGTCTTTGTGGCGTAGTTGGGGCTTGTGTACAGATGTGGTCAATTTCAACACCTCCTTTAGGTTAGATGTAATAGCATTTATTTTTTGTTCCCAATGTTATGTCCTGATAAATTTAGAAATAACCATGTATGTTGCATCAAATGTAATGCTTATTGTTGTAGACTTTAATTTTTACTAGCTCTATTTATTTATTTTTGAAATAAACGTTTTTTTGATTTTGAAGTTCTTTATCTATAAATAAAGATGAATATGCCGGCAAAACCAGTGGCGTGCATAGGAAAAGTTGAATGAATGAATCTTCTAAGCTACTGATTGAGGATAAAGCATGCATATTATTCAAATAATGTTGTAGATTTCGAATCCGAAATTTCTTTCACGTGCTTTTGTGAATATTGTTTTGACAAAACGAGAATTTTATGATATAATTTTTCAAAAAACACATTTTTGTGTGAATTGTAGTGCATATACTGGGAAAACCAATTATGTCTGACGGCTGAGCTCAATTTGTATGAGAGAGAAGTGCCAGAAGTGTATATCAACACATCTTAGAAAGCAATAGAAGCCGGTTATAGTAGCGTTTTTCTGGGTTCCTTCGGGTGTGGATTAAAACACTGGATTCCACAAAAAGAAACGCACTGATTTATTTAACTTGATAAAACATTTATATACACCACTATTTATGTCTGACTAATTCTTATTCCACCATTGACTGCACTATACCTCACTCGGCTCTGCTACTCTACCGTATTCCGTACTCTGCTCCATCTCCCGGCCGCCGAGTTATATATAGTCCCAATTGCCGCTTCGAGAAAGACCACAAAGCGACATCTAGAATGTTGGAGATCACTTCGCGTCGATCTAGAAGGCGATCGACTCCCACGGTTCTCACAGACGCCGCCAGGCGGCTTGTGCGGTCGTGTAAAAGCAGAGATCGGCCATTAAGCTCTGGCGAGTAGGAGACTCGCCCAACAGATGGTGCTATTTGTCACACTATATTGCTTAGCAACAGTGACGCAAAAGGTCGTGCAAGGGACAGATCGCGTAGCCGATATGTTACACCAGAAAATGTTCGCTAAGGCTTCTACAATAGGTTAGGTTACTGTCAAACTTAAGAAGGAGGTCTGTTCGAACATTTAATTTAATATTTTATATTTATTTTAATTAGAATTATTTCTCTCATTTTTTTGCGACTTAGTGTTTTAATTTATTTTAGAATTAACTTTGATTTCCACGGATGGTGATAAAATCAATACATCCTGAGTTATGGTTACATTTTGAGACAGTGAGCGGTTGGAAAACGTAACAAATACCATTAGGGAATAGAAATTATCACTACTTGCGTGTACGCACGTGTAAACTATGATCTTGGAGGTCAAAACATTGCATTGGAATGTACTAGATGCGGTGTTGTTAGGGGAACCAGGGAAAAGAATAAAATAACGCAAATTTTTAATAAGCATCTTAATTCAAGGAATTGGTGTGACATATTCGCAACGCAGCAGATTGCCACGTCCGCGTTGCTAGGCAACGCGGTGTTGAGCTTCGCTATCTAGCCGGCCTCTTTGTAACATGTGTGTCTAAACACACTTCTCCCTCGTACATATTGAACTTACGCCGTCAGACAAATTTGGTCTTCAGAGAGAGATCACAAGTTTGTAGAACAGGTACTGTTTCCCTATAACTTTGGTTGTTCATGGCATTAATTTTTAGATAAATCACTGTCACTGTTTTTCTGACACACCCTGTATAAGTGGTATGTATATTTTTTTGTTGTATCTTGTCTGGGTTATGCATCTCTGCTCCGAAAATCTATTTTGGTAAAGTTAGGTGTACGAATTATGCAACAAAAAAATTGGCATAATAGCCCAGTCCAAGTAGGAAAGCTTGCTGACCAAAAAAGGAGAGTATGTGACATCTACACTAAGAAGGAACACCAAGATAATAAAAGACATTTTATTTGTTTATATATAATTATTTTACTACGGCGAGCCAGCGCTTCTCCAAAACATACAGTTTGATTAATTAATATTATGTAAGAGACTGTTAGTAATCGTTGGTTAAGATCGCTAAACATTGGCTTTTGTTTAGTTTCCTAACTATGGCAGACTGACTAACGTGGACAAAAACTACACAAAATCACAAAATGTTTTGTATACATATTATGCATAATGACGCTTTGGTCGATCAAGGTTTGGATATTTTTAGATTTTTTTCATCGGAATGGAGCAAAAAATATACAAGGTGTTTCCTAATTGAATGTCAATATTAAAAGGGAGCTGTTTTTCGGTCCATTTTAAGAAGTAAGCTTCATATTTTGAGATACAGGGTGGTAATGTTTCCTAAAATAAATCACTTCACAATTAAGATCTGTTATACCACTTTATAGAATCATTTTTGAATGTACCCCTTTTTTATCTTCCCCATTGGCGTTCGTACGGAATTTCACCTGCCTGTTTAGGCACACATTGATGGTACGTCACTGATATCTCTAAGTCCAGTCATTTCTAAGCAAATCTGTTCACTTGAGTTCTTCAATCCGATGTTACGGTTACCGCTTAAAGATTATAAGGTGATGTGTCTCTGCATGATCATATACCAGGTGCTTCTAATTCCGCGTTCACCATTAGGATCTCTGAGACCGTAATAAATACGAAGTCGCTTAAATGGGTGTAAAGTTGCGTATTTAGGTACTTAACAAGACGCCGCTTAGAAAGTTTCGAAATTCAAAGTACTTTCGGGAAATACCGAAATTTCCCAAAACATTTTCGACTTTTTCCTGGCTTTATTCGTAGTTGGACTTCAAAATAAATTGCACATCAACATCACCGCTTTTTCTCCTCTACAAAATGTCATAATTAGAATTTCAATATAACGTTTCATCTCTTGTCCTCCATCATTAACTTTATTATTTCTTATATACGTCATATTGGATTTTTGCTCAGATAAATGGAGTTTATAAATTTGATTCCAAAAATGTATAATTTTTCATACATTGATATTGCCAAACCTTAGTTATTTTGAAAGGACTTAATTTCCTAGGTAGACCTTAAATTTATCAGATAATCATTCGTATTATACTGAACTGAGCGCTGAACAATGTACAGAGAAGGGTTTGCCTATAAAATAATGGCCAACATTCTGAACGTCTGCGATGATTGACGTCTGTTTATTCATGATTATTATTGTTATTGCTATCTATAATATTTTCAGTTTTTTTTATACTCCAATTACCACGAAGGCCTAAGGCCTAAGCACCCATTGGGTACCGTGGGGCTATAGGGGGATACATGGGAAAGGGGGGACGCCACACGGACTTTGGCGAGGGAACACGTGTGCGTGCAACATGCACACATTCTGGCTCCGCCTACGAGATCCGCCGGGTGATACCTCTGCGTTCGACAGTCAGAGACCGTCTACCACCTACCCTTGTCTATGCTTTGTCTCGAACTGTCAGATCGATTCTTTTAAAAAGTATATTTGAAACAGGATAGTTTGTGATCAGGTTTCACTAGACACTTTTGTCTCCCTAAAATTTTGTTTCTAACAGCAAATTCATGGTCGACTGAGGAAATACATCTCTGAATATAGGACTGAAAACTCCAAAAAAATTTCAATATAGCATTCATATGAAAAAAAACAGTTGGTAATGAAACTCAACTAAATAACTTTCATTTTGTAGCGGAGAAACAGTGACAATGTTAATAGGCGATTTATTCTGAAATCACACTATAAATAGTCAGGAAAAAATCAAAACGATTTTCGGAAAATTCAGTTTTTCCGTCTCTCTCCGGAAGTACTTTGAATTTCGGAATTTTCTAAGAGGCATTTTGTTAGTCACCTAAAAACGCCTTGCCCCTATTTAAGCGACTTGGTATTTCTTACCGTTTCCCAGATCTCAATGTCGAGTGTCGAATTTGAAACACCCTATCGCTAATATGACATTGCAGTGAAATATATTTTATTTTTTTACGTGAAAACCGTGCGTCTGACTAAAAAAACTCAAGAGATCTGCTCATATACAGATTCCAATTTTTTATATTAAAAGCAGTCAGTGGCGTGCCAAATACTTACTTTGATTACTTTTGAAAACGTTTCTATCAAGTCTTCTCCCAAAAATCGCCCACTTAAATACGTATTGATATTCAATCAAGAATCAATCGTTGCAAATTTAGTCAAAGCTAGCGCATATCTGCCACTTCATTGTTAATGATTGATAAATTGTTATACATAATATACCTATACAGCAGTATTAGAAGTTTGAACTTATTTAACTACCTACATAATATTCAAAATATCACAATCATATTGTTATACTACAGGTCCCCTGTAATGATTATCTAATAAATTTATTACTCTTAACACTTTGTAAAATTCTCTTCGATTCCAAACAGATTCGATACAATTGCATACGTATTAGCTATATATACTTGTTAAACATACTCGTATATGCACGGCTTCAATAATACAAGATATTGTACAGCATGCAGCATCTTTAGTTAGAATAATCAAAACCTATTATCGTGTAAAATTACACCTATGTTGAAATACTTTTAAATTTAAAGCTGATACTCATGTATATATAAAATATACGTTTCTAAAATATTTTGTAACAAATAATCGAATTCAGACATCTTTAATATATTTCAAAGGACTTCACATATTTATTAACGACTAGTTAAATTTTCATTGCAATATTGGCTAAAATCTGCAAGAAATCTATATTAGTCTATGAGCTGCAATCCTGAATTTTTTATTTTTTTCCAATAGTATTAGTACAATATTATCGAGAATAAATGTTTGCAGAGCACAAGAAGTATTTCTGATACGACTACCTCTATTCCAGATTTAACTCGTGATGTATGAATCTAATTTCATCTCAGTTACTTCACTGGATGATTTCAAAAGTATCACAAATTACATCAATTACATGTCTACGTCAGTATCTTATATCAGTAAATTTCTTTACATAAATGAGATATCTACAAAAATCTACATAAATACATATCTACAACACAATCTAATATCTAGATCTAGACTATAAAAACTGCTAAAGGCTGTAGCAGTTTTTTATGAGATAGCTACCTAATTTTTTGTCTATAGTTTAGTTCTATACACGAACTCTTTTTCGGTATATTGGCGTTATTTCTGCTCAAATTCGTTACAATGTAAGATTCAAGCTTACTTTAAACAAATAGCCAGTGTTTGGCTTTAAATCGGCTGGCCAATTTGCTCGTCCGAATTTGCTCGTGCTCTTCGACAGGAGATATACTGAGTGCCAGTTTCTGTAAAAACAAATGTTTTCTTAAAATTCTTAGGACCTTTAAGTATTTTTAGCTATGCTAAAAAAGAAGGTGCATTTATGTATAGCAACAAAATAAGTTTTGAAAGTAATTAGTCAGTACTGTCCTTGTTCGGGAACACCTGTTGGAAATAAATAAATAAATAAAATAAATAAACCATCTCAGAGCCGTTCTGATTCTGCTGTAACCAAGCACGAAACAGTTTTGATATTCCCAACTAACCATTTTTTATTTTATAAATGGCCTAACAACGTTTACAGAACTATTTTTATAAAATATTGCCGCTATTAACGTTCTAGCAACGTTCATACAATGCGTATAAACCCAACAATTTTGTTCTTTAATTTGTTTTATTATGGCTTTCACAGCTTTTACCGGATAATTGTTTAAACATCTTTAAAATTATCATAAAACATAGTATGGAACAATTATAAAACAGTTTTACTGAAAACAGTTATAAAGCGAAATATTATTTTATTATTATGACAAATAATATTTATCGATCAACAAAAACACAGTTTTGTAAAAGCTGCTACATTAGATGCAGCTTTTTTATTTTGACCAGCACTAAAAGTTTGCTTCCGATTTTAAAGTGGATCCGCTGACAATGTTTTTTAGATGATCATTAATACAGGCTCCGTCAGAAAGAACGCATGTCTTTTAAACGAGTAGTACAGTCAAAATAAGTATGGGAAAAATATTTTATCATATCAAAGTACTCCGAAATACATGCCATATTTTTGAGTAAAGCAAAATTTACGTTCTAAAAACTATGTCGGCCATATGGCGCCCTTGAGCCGAAATGCAGGAATCAAGCCTCCTCCTTCAAATCGACGAGGGTCCGAGGCTTGCTTTGTTAAACTTTTGATTTTAGGTAGCCCCATAAAAAAATCACACGTTGACAGGTCCGGGGAGTGAGGGGGCCATGGAATATCGCCATGACGTGAAATGAGACGTCCTGGGAATTTTTGCCGAACGAGTTCCATCGAAGCGCGAGCTGTGTGAGATATTGCCCCGGCTTGTTGGAACCACACTGTTCTGAGATGGACACGTTGACGTCGAAGTTCCGGAAAACAAAGTTTGTTCAGCATGTGGATGTAACGCTATGAATTCACAGTAGTTGTTTCTCCATCATCTTCAAAAAAATAAGGGTCAATAATTATCGTTGGGCCTACTGCACACCAAACTGAAACTTTCGGGGATGCAGAGGGTGCTCATGCAACTGTTGGGGGTTCACTGGAGCCCAATATCGACAATTTTGCTTATCGACGTATCCATGTAAATGAAAATGTGCTTCATCACTCATAAACAATGTCATGTCATTGTTATCCAACTGTTCAATCATGAGCTGTGCAAAATTAACACGTTGTGCATAATCCCCTGGCAACAGTTGTTAACAAACTTGGATTTTGTAAGAATGGAACACTAAATCCTTCTTCAAGATGCGACGTACAGAGGACGCGTGGATACCTAGGGAACTAGCACGCAAACGGACGGAACGATTCTGGCTTTGCAGCGTGTCAAACTCTCACTCTGTCTACGTTTTCGGCGGTTTCTCCCTGGCGGTTGTTTCTTCATCACATTACCTGTTGTGTTGAATGTTTCCACCCCTCTCAAAATGGTGTTACGGTCTGATACTGTCCCACGACGTGGAACACGAAAGTGAATGCGAATCTCACGTTGCGTTCGAACGAAAACTCGCCATTTTGAAAGTACCGATGTACACTGAACACACGATGCTCAACATTCCAAACCATCTTGCCAATTAAAACGGCACTTCTCCCACTATCCAACACGCCCTTCCCCACCGACACGAGACCAGCCCACTCGATGAAATACCCATTCGAAAAACATGCGTTCTTTCTGACGAACCCTGTATAATAAAAAGGCAAGCCATATATCATATATATTCATCTGGTATAAGAGCTTCAATAAACTTTATTATTATTATCATTATTATTATCTTTTTGAGTGAATAAAATTTGATTGAGTAAATACATCAGCTATGTTGCATTTAATTCTGATATACAGGGTGACTTTGAAGTTGAGTCATTAATTTTCAGATAATGATTGTAGAAGGAAGATAAACCAAAATATGTGTGTAAAAATAAAAAAAAAATAAAAAAAATTGTTACCTTGTTTTATAAAGTATCCTCCCGACAAGTATTTCAGTGCGGACCTGTATTTGATCGTGAGGTCTTGGAGCACCGGCATGCCGTCCATATGTGAGGTCTTAAGTCACCTGATTCACGAACCCGTTGTACTACATTAACAAAGGCACGAGGGGTTGGTTGCACTCGATTGGGAAACCGATCCGCATAAACATGTGCCATTTTTTATTTCGTTTGAGCCACGCAACAGACACCACTATTCACTACCGACTGACACTGACTGTATACAACTGAATGGAATAATTGTAAAAACATCGTTCCAAATTCTTTCGCTTTTTTGTTTCCGATGCGATGAACCGATAAGGCGGATTATATCCGTTGTCGCCAAACACGAGCACATAATATTATTATTGAGACAGGGCGGTACTCAAACTTCCAAAGGGCTATAACTCTGTTACTTTAATTTTACCAGAAAAATGGTAAAGGAAAAAACATTTCTTTTGATCAGATCTACTCACTGTTAAAATAAATGACTCAACTTCGAAGTCACCCTGTATATACGAAATCCAGCAACTGGATCCTGCTGTTGAACAAGCCTATGTACATTATAATTTAGGTTAGGCTCATAAAATTATAAAAATGAACTTATCTTCTTTAACTCAGAAAACACAGAAAAGTCGTTGTGTATACTCAAGCAAATGAACACAAAACTGGTATAATGAATGACTGAATCAGGCAAATACCGTAACGAAGTGAATGTGGTTGTTACGGTGTTTGACTGAAATTGTTCAGTCATTACAGGAAATAACTGAAATGCTTAGTCAAACGTTGTAATAAGCAAACTGTTGCGGTGTTTGCCGGCAATACGGGGACTGACTAGGCATTTCAGGGAATGACGGATTTCAGCATTTGACGCCGACATATACACCTAATACCGGACACACAGAAATTCGATTTGTAAGCGGATGGTTGATATTTTACTGCACAAGAAATGTTTGTATTTTATATTAGATATACTATATGTATTAAAAATTTCAAGCACCTCAAGTATAGTAGCTATTATTGAAATTGTAGGTCTAAAGGTGGACATTTTCATTCTTATTTTATGTTCCTTGTTTTATATTATACATATAAACGCTAAAATAGATAGTGAGGCATGCTTAAAATGGCATTCGTAAAGTGAAATTGAAATAACACAAAATATGGCTTACATGTTATAAAATAGTTTTACTATCTTGAGAGTTCTTATTAAACGTTTTTACCTCATAAAAGATTGTTATAAAAATGAATGCCTTATTCATTCTATAAAACATTTTTTTGCTTTATAGTTTTTATATATAGCAATAATAATTACTATAAGGTACCGTCGAGTATATTGATTTGGCTAACAATAATATCAGAAAGAAAATATTAATAAATTAATTTTATAAAACAGTATTAAAGTTTGCCGCTCAACTGTTTTTTCTCTAACAGTGCTCTTACGACTACCTTATAAAGTTGTCTTACTGACAATTTTGTAAATGTTTCTCACAGCGCTAGTAAAATAATTTTATTGATGATCGCAAACGGACAAACTTGTATCAGATAATACCGGTATAAATTTATATTGAAATAAATTTGCTAAGTAAGCTTAAATATTGCATAAATTTGTTGTGTAAACGTTTACAAAACAGTATTAAAATTTGTTGTAAAACCGATTCGTATTTTTACTAAAGAACGATCTTACTACTACCTTATAAAATCCAATACTTCTTAAAAGATTAATTGTCTCACTGTCAATTTATTTGAAACAAAATTGTGATCTAAGAGCAGTAATAAAGCAATTTTAAAACAAAATAGCACGTACAGTTGCGATTTGTTTCTTGCTGGTTGAGTTACGAGAACCTATTGCGAAAATGAGTACGGATACTACACAATAAGGGTAGGATATTTTTTATATACTAGAACATCAACTTTCTCACCTCTTTTAAAGTTCCTTTCGTCTTCATTATCTGAATTATTGCCACTGTTGGTATCATGAGAATGGACGATAGGGCTAAGCCCCAACCTACCCATTCAGCCCATGTGGGATAAAAGTAGTCTTGATACTGCAGTGGTTGGTGATAGAATAATCCGAACATTACTACGCACTGCAAGAAGAAAGATGTGAATATTTGGAATTTCAAAACACACATTTGCCATCATAAATAATGTCGAACAATATGTATAATGTAGAACTTATTTGTTTCGTATATGCGCCAAAAAGAAATTAACTTACTATGATGAAGCTGGGACTTATAAATTTCCAGCATATTCTCCAGTACATACCGGGCTTTGTACCTAGCATAGCTTCCACGTCCTGCGTAAATCTATCTAAACCTGTAACAAATTTATACAACTTTTAATTCTTCTGTTAGTCTCTATCCTCTGTGGATGCTGGCTGTATCCAGTGGTGTTTCTCATAGAAGCATGAAGGATGCTTGTAGAACATTTTTTTTTCATTATTGTTCATATTTAATGACTAAAAACTTATTAGATATTACATATGTGACAGCCTGTGTATAAAAGGCGATTTAAAAAATCATAATGATTCCAAGACAAGACAAAAATAATCAGTTGTTATGTTAGTGCGCATGTGTTTGATCAAGATTTCTCATGCATCTTGCTGACCTGTAAAACTGGTATTATAAACATGTTCTAAACTGACCAAAGGTACAGGACGTAAATCATCAGTGTTTACCTCGACGATGAGACTGAATAAGAACAAAACATGAATTTTGTTCAAATAGATAAGATTACTCTCCATATTCACTACATACAATTTTTAATGTTTAACTTCAGCGTATTTTCACAGTAGAATGGATTGAAGTTTTATATCAGGATTTAACCTCAAATGTAAAAAAACGATTTTTCTCCAAAGGAATAGTGTGACAAAAAATGCTCAGGAGACGAGACGAAACAAATCTTATACCTACCTATGTACTGTATTTTTTCTGTCCAGAATAATTGTCATTATTTTTTGAATCACCCTGTATAAAATATATATTTACCGTAAAACCAAGAGACTGCGACTGCTTCAAACAACGCAGAGCAAAGAAGTGAAATTCCCGCTGAGTATGTGTCAAAAAGATGGAACATGTAAATGCCACCCTGTAAAAAACAAATTTTTATATTACATTATTAATGTGTCATAACATGAATTAAACCGGACAGAAACTTACCGGTGTTACGTTGATAAGAGCAACGGAGAACGACATTATTATAATTCCTAAAGTAAATATTTCTCTGGAATATTTCCTTTGCTTGAAAAAGTCGGAAAATTCATCCATTAATCCCGTTATTACACATTCTAAGCCACCCATCTGGAAAAATCGAAATCATAGATTTTGATAAACATTTACGTATAGTCAATGCCAAACAAAGTGGCGTGCACGTCATCACGATAAAAATTCCCCGACCTAATGCCTAGGTTTCTATCACAAACAATTGCTCTATTGCAGTTTCATATTAATGTGATATATAAATTGTAAAATGGTCATTACTCTCTTATTATGGTTAATTGTCATATAAACATTGTTATTAAAATATCACATAAGTTGCTTTCTGATAAATTTAGACGCATTATGCGAAATAAAATGTTTTGCAAACGCTCCAATCACTTATCGACATGTAAACGCACTAAACCGATTTCGCAGCGTTGACACATTGTCACCTTGAAACTTATTTAAACTGGGAACTGACATTTGTATTAATTTTGACACTGAATCAATTTGTGGCATTTCAAATCTTTATAAATCCTTTGGCCCCGCATACTGTAAATCAACAACTGTTTGTTTCAAAACAAAATTATTCATTTTACGAGTAGATAAAGGCAATTTTGGTATATAAAGATGCCCAAACAGTTAAATAGTCGGTGTAAGGAACTCATGGCCTCGTTAATGCACTACTTTGAGCAAGAAAGGGACAACAACGGGCCTTTGTTGCCTTTAAATGCTGTTCAAGAGGTAGGTTACTAATAATTATATGTAATGTATATTAATAATAGTGAAATTTTATTTCATTTTTTGTAGCGTGTTGCTGCTGCTTTAAAAATTAGTTTAAGGACAGTTAGTCGTATTTCCGAGGGTGTGAAAAATGATGCAAATTTAGAATCGCCCAAGAAAAAGCGGAGTTATATTAAACGTGTAACCAACACAGCGACATTGGATACAAGTGCCATTCGAGAAGTGATCTATAATATGTATCACAAAAGTAAGATCTTATTATAATAACTTATCAGAAATTTGCATTAATTTGTTAACTAAATTATAATGTCATATTACACAAGGTTTCAGAAGAACAAGTTACGATACAAACTTTATGGTCTCGATTAAGAGATAGGGCATTATTTGATGGTAGTGCCACGTTTTTAAGGCGGTTGCTTAGAGATCTTGGATTTAAGTGGCTTAAGGACAATCCGCGACGAGGGCTCATGGAACTACCAAGTATAGCTTTGAAAAGGGTGGAATTTCTAAGGCAATACAATCAAGCCAAGGTTGAGGCCTTATACCAGTTTGTCTTCCTCGATGAAACTTGGATATTTCAAAATGGGACCATAGGTCGCTCTTGGCAAAATGGAAACCAAAAAAGCGTGAAAGCTATTAAAACAGATGGTAAAAGGTATGTACTTTTACACAATTTGCACTATAAAATTTAAAACTAATATATTTTAGATACATTATATTACATGCTGGAAATGAAAATGGGTTTATTGAGGGTAGTGAAGCGATATTTTCTTCGAAAACAAAATTGAGCGATTACCATGGAGAGATGAACCAGGACAATTTTTTGAAATGGTTTCAACATCAGTTATTAGAAAAATTGGAGAGTCCATCTATGATTATACTGGATAACGCCCCTTATCACAGCATGATATTGAACAAAGTGCCCAACAATGCATGGACAAAAAAAAATATCCAAGACTGGTTGACAAATCAAAACATACCATTTTTAAACACAATGTTTAAAACAGAGCTATTGAGTATTGTTGCTCGGTACATAATGCTTCTTAATTATATATATTTTGGTCGACAGTTTATATTTCTTTTGTTTATTCCTATTCTTAAAATAACTGCTTTTTTAGAAACAAACCACCTAAAATATACGTGATTGATGAATTGGCGGAACAACATGGGCACAAAGTTCTACGTCTGCCTCCTTACCATTGTATATTTAACCCTATTGAGTTAATTTGGGGCATAGCAAAAGGTTACTATAACAGACATATTGGTAGAGATGGTAACAGTGAAAAAGACTGTTTGGATATGTGGAACGAGGCTCTACAAACGGTTACCCCAGACATGTGGAAAAATAGTGTTCGACATACTGAGCAAGAAATTTTTAAATGGTATGAAAGAGAACGAATTTTTGATCGACCAGACATCGAACCTTTAATAATCAACTTTGAGAGTGATGAAGATTCAGATTCAGACAGCGCTGAAGAAAGAAACTCCGACTAACTTTATTGTACAGAAAAAGCTTACACCAGTAGCTTACCTAATTTTAGAATGCATTTTTCTGTATGAATTCTGTAAAATAAATACCATGCATAAAATTTGGAGGACCCCATTTGGATTTTTATTCAGTACCTTTAAGCTATCAATTAAATATGGTAGTTTCATAGTGTCATCTGATCAATAATTGTCATACTTAATGATTATGCAAGTACAGATCTATAATTTTATTATACTATTATTTTTGTTCTCATTTGAGGTTAATATTGCTTATAAACCTAGATATGTAAATAATAAATTTTATTATTTTACAAAAAGTTTGGCAACAATGTAAATTTTTCAACACACCCACCTTGATGACGTGCACGCCACTTTGTTTGGCGTTGACTATATATAAGAACATTTTCCTCGAAAGGAAAATGAAAGTCTTTTCTTATATCGATATCATCTGAATGGACAACCATTAGTAGCATGGATGAAGGCGAAGAATATTGAGTGGCGGAGGAAATAATCTACAGAAAACGGCCTCAGATTCCTTTAGGTAAAGTTTTAATTGTGAGGTATTGTTTCTCACAACTACCAATCCTGATTTCTCAAAGTTAGGTTGTCATTAATGGGTAAAGGAATTTGATAGGAGAAATTACTCACCGCAGAATCTAATCCAAGCATTATAAGCATGAAGAAAAACAAAATAGACCACAAGTGTGATCCAGGTAGTGTTGCTACAGCTTCTGGGTATACTTGAAATACCAATCCAGGTCCTGAAAATTCCCAAACATTATTACTGGATACATTGATTAACATCTTCTACCTGAAGGTAGTCAGAGTAATGCTATATTCCCGCGAACAAAAAATTGTCTGAAATAAAATGAGATAGCGTAGCGCCATCTATGAGAACTTGTCACATCTTATAAAAGGTTATTGTATGCTTATACAGGGTGACTTTGAAGTTGAGTCATTAATTTTCAGATAATAATTGTAGAAGGAAGATAAACCAAAATATGTGTGTAAAAATAAAAAAAAAATTAAAAAAAATGTTACCTTGTTTTATAAAGTATCCTCCCGACAAGTATTTCAGTGCGGACCTGTATTTGTTCGTGCAGCCTTGGAGCACCGGCATGCCCTCCCCTGTGAGGTCTTAAGTCACCTGATTCACGAGCCCTTTGTACTACATTAACAAAGGCACGAGGGGTTGGTTGCACTCGATTAAATAAGAATCATGTCCACAAATTCGTAAACATGTGCCATTTTTTATTTCGTTTGAGCCACGCAACAAACACCACTATTCACTCACGCGTTACCGACTGAAACATTGACTGACATCGTGATAAACGTTTCAAATTCTTTCGCTTTTTTGTTTCCGATGCGATGAACAGATAAGGCGGATTATATCCGTTGTTGCCAAACACGAGCACATAATATTATTATTGAGACAGGGCGGTACTCAAACTTCTAAAGGGCTATAACTTTGTTAATTTAATTTTACCAGAAAAATGTTAAAGGAAAAAAACATTTCTTTTGATCAGATCTACTCACTGTTAAAATAAATGACTCAACTTCGAAGTTATTATTATTATTATTATTATGATAATTGAGATGAGCAGAGTACACAGTACTATAAGCTCATGCAGTAAATATAGTGTACGGACACGTAACACAAATACATCAAATAGAAAAAAATAAAAAAAGACAGTTCATAGCTATAAAGTTTGTACACTCCTCCAGCTATCATACTGCACTTTGAAGCTATTAACTGAAGTAGCACCAACCACACTTTCAGGTAAACTATTCCAGGTGTTGAATATGCGGTTGGGAAGAAACCACTGTCGGACTGTTGTTTTAAATGGCTCCTTATGCAGTTTGAAGCTGTGTCCGCGTAGATTGCTGCGCGACAGACGGTATAGATGCATGAGGTTGGTGCCCATCAAGCCATGAAGTATCCTGAACGTAACTATAAGATCGCCACGAAGTCTTCGCTCAGAGTATGAGGTCAGGTTGAATTCTGATTCGACGAGATTTCTATCGCGCAGAAGTACAGTGTCCCATACCGGGCCAGCGAATTCAAGAATTGGCCTCACGATGCCTTGTAAATGTAGGCGCAAGTGTTGACATCGGATCCTTTGAAAGACCTCTCCAGCATGTATAGAAGTTTCTTGGCTTTTGATGTAACGTGGTGAATATGCTCTGACCAGGAAAGACGATCGTTGACTACAACGCCCAGATCCGCGTGGCTGGAAACTGCTTCGATGTTGTGGTCAGAGATCTTGTATGTAAATTGCGGATTTGTCTTCCCGAGGTGAAGGACACAACACTTAGTTAGATTTAAGGGTAAAAGCCAACTGACTGACCATTGACAAACAATGTCAAGATATCGTTGAAGCATAGCAGAATTTACGACAGTATTGTAAATCTTGGTGTCGTCGGCAAAAGCTGAACATGTGGAGGAAATCAATGCGGGCAGGTCACTTGTATACAGAAGGAACAGCACTGGCCCCAAGACAGAGCCTTGAGGAACTCCACTTGCTACATGATGAAGGTGAGACTGGCTATCACTGACGCACAGAGAAAGTCCTCCCGGTGCGAAAAGCCTTAATCCACAGTAACAACTCGCCTCTTATTCCCATACATTCCAACTTAAACAGAAGTCTTCTATGTGGTACGCGATCGAAAGCCCTAGAAAAATCTAAGTAGATTATATCAACAGGAGTCTTTGTGTCCAGATACTGAGTCCAATCGTTGAGAGAGTGGAGAAGGTTGGTCATTATTGATCGACCAGGGAGAAATCCATGCTGATTCTTAGGGATAAGGTCATTTTCGAAAGCTATTTTGGCGGCGATAGGAACGAGACTTATTGGTCGATAATTTTTAGCGGAGGATTTGTCGCCCTTTTTGAATACAGGGGTAACAGAAGCACTAAGCCAGCATGAGGGTAGGGTATGAGATCTAAAAGACGATGTGAAGGTGGTAGGGCCAGTGCTGAAGCGCAGTTTTTAAGTACAGCAGCCGTCATCCCATCTTTACCAGGGGAGGAAGAGGTCTTCAGATTTCGCAGGTGCATTAATACATCTTCGGGCAGGAAAGGCTGTTGGGACACCTATGGCAGATAGTGGTCAGTAGAAGGTCTCCATTAGGCTCATCGACGAAGTCATCACTAAAGGACTCTGCCAGTAAGTTGGCAGATTCGGTGGCATCCATGTGGAGATGACCGTCAGCTCATATAGACGCTATCTTTTCAAAGCATATAGTTACATATTTATAGTATAGTAGTAGTTCTCATAGATGACGATACGGTTTCTCATTCTATCTCGAACAATTTTTGGACGCGGAAATGTAGCATTAAGTCGGCTATCTTCAGGTAGAATGCCTTAATCAATGCGTACTACTAACTAATACTTATTACTAATAATTTATTTTCAACAATTTAAGCGTATAATCTTTGCAAACTTCTGAGAATTTATACATTGTATATCTCGATTTTTTTTACTAACCTTCTGTGGCAACTGCACTTATGTGAACACCCTGTTTATACGACATGTATCCCAAGTATGTAAATATTACAAATCCCGAGAAGAAGCTTGTGAAACAATTGACGATGGTCGTAATAATGCAATCCCTGAAATGTGCCAAGTATGTTATATTCTGTTATAATTAGAAATTCAAACAATTACCTATAACAGTTATTATGGAATGTATTATAACTTGCGTAGGCTAAATGCACCCCAAAACCTGCTCCAACTGAATAGAATATTTGAACTGCAGCATCCACCCAAACCTAAAAGAGTAATTCGTTGATAATGTAAAGCGTATACCTAAAAGTCACGCAGGATTCGAATCAAATAGAAACGCAGTTTTTCTTACACCTCTCCATGTTTCTCTGGCCGCTAAATCAAACATATGTTTACCTTTTTCAAGTAAACATGACAATTCTAATGATAAATAAATATTGTAACGAAAACACCGTATTTACTGTCCAAAGACTAATTTATTATTTTAACACTTCCGACTAAATTATGACATATTTATAACCATAATGACTGGACTATTATTGAATCTGAATTCCGCCAATTGAAGGTCTCGGCTATCACTAAGCCTTCCGCCATCTGGTTGGGTACTTATCTTCCTATCGACGCGTCGAGGAATGTTCCAGCAATTTTTAAGTCAAGACGTGAACTTCCTTGGAATTCGTCTAGATGGCTGCAGGTGCCTCCAGACGGATCTCGAGTATTCTTGAATCTCGGCCTAACCCTTTTTAGACAGTGCCGCAAGCGCTCATACACGGTCGCGTAACTGGTTTCCTAAGCGTCGACTCTGCAAGGCGACTCCTCATCGCTCAATGTCCCAGCAATAAGAGGTCGTTACAATACATCGACATCAAAAATTTCAGTTAACAGTTATTCATACATATTTATGTGGTTTTATTTAGTGGCCAGACAAACATGAATGATTGTCAGCATGAAGATCTTAGGACAAATTTCAGGTTCGATTCCATCCAGGTGCTTTACGCACCTTAAGATGCTGGTGTACAATGCGGGATCTCGAGAGATTCCGCTCATGTGCCATGAGAATCTTCAGTTGAAAAATCTTACGAAAAGGACTCCTCTGGGGAAAATCACTAAAGGTCTGTTCACACTCAGCCGTGACGTGACAGTGCTGTGACGTGCCAGTGATTCTCGCTGACGTGAGATCACAGTGTTTTCAATTCACACTGGTCAGTATTTTTCTCCGTGCTCTGACAGTGCAGTTGTGTTCACGTGAGGTCGAAATGGCAAAATTTTCAGAGGATGAACTTGGCAATTATTGCATTAATTCTGGATTTTTTCTATACTCCAACTACCACGAAGGTGTAAGGCCTAAACACCCATGGAGTACCGTGGTGCTATAGGAGGAAACACAGGAGAAAGGGGGGATGCCACACGGACTCTGGCGCGGGAACACGTGTGCATGCAATATGCACACATTCTGGCCTCACCTACGAGATCCGCCGGGTGATACCTCCGCGTTCGACAGTCAGAGTCCTTGTATTTTGAATTTGACTGGCTCTACAGCACGGGATGTACGCGTACAATTCAATTAGTTTTTTTTGACCAATTATATCAAAATATTCACCAAATTACATAAAAACACGGCCGTGAAAATCGAAAAATATCGTTTCAAAACAATGCGATGATCACGGTACGGCGTCGTCGAGGGCACTGAGAACTCGGCCACTTCCACGTGCCGGGCTAGTGTGAATCAGTTCATCCAAATTCCAGGAAGAATTTTTTTAGTTTCGTCGCGCGTATCACGAGCCGGTCATAGCACTGTCACGTCACTGCTGAGTATGAATAGGCCTTAAGGGAGGCGCTACTATCATTGACGCCGTTCGCAGTAAGATATCTCATGACGGATCTTACAATGTGTTGCTCCTCGTCGAGGTCATTATCTATTAATGACTATGCCTCCAGGACCGTGGATGTGCGGGAGTTGTTCTCGCTTTCCGTTTCTGAGCAACTTTACAACTTTCCAGAGAGGAATACTCAAATCAAGCAACTCCGCCAGAAAGTCGCTTCATTGCTCATTATGAAATTCGTGTAGAGCATTTCTCATTTCATGAGCAAGATTCCTCGCTCTGCGAATGTCTGCAGGAGAAGCCACGACTCTTTATGACTCAAAAAAAAAATAAGTATCTCATTTCATTTTCTATTCAATTCAAATGTTGCATAATCTTATGTTTGATTTTTTTGCAAAGTCTGGAGTTCTGAGTATGTTTTTGCCCCTGCACCTGCGGTGGACTAAGATGTCGAGTAGGATATACAGAATCCATAGCGTGGGAGGGAAATGTTTGATTCATCTAGATCCAGAGCAATTTGTAAATACCTGGGTCTCTCGTAATTTTGACAGTTCTGGTTGTAGATAATACGATATTCCGGAGATAGCTCCTGGCAGCATAAGTCCTCGAATTAGAAGTATAGTCAATACAACGTATGGCATTGTTGCTGTGACCCATACAACCTTGCCTGGAAAGAAGTAAAAATTCTCGTATCATTTACACAATAAATTGTCTGCAATTTTGATATCCATTGAACTAGCAAGATATCTAAAATACATTACTTAGCAAGGAGAATTGAGAGAATTGACGCAATTTTCCTGTTTTCCACACTCAGGCGATTCGTCTCACATTTGAACACGTACAGGCTATTACTTAGTGATAGGCTGTAACTCCTGCACCAAGAAGATTTAACTCACAGTTTGGAAGAGCATATAATTAGTCTCAATATCCCTATGTGCTAAATGCAGTATGAGATTTCAGAACCGACGTGCCTGCCAACTTCCAGACTTGTCATTGGCCAGGACCAATTGTTTATATTCAATTGTTTTCAATTTTCAATGGTCGCAGTTTTTCTGTGTTTTTCGGTAATCGGGGCACAACTTCTTTTAATTTTAAAGAGAATTGTGAACGATATCGATTAGATCTATCGGTTAAATTAATGTAAATATAGATTCTGTGAGCGATTTTTGTGCTTGGAACCGTCGATCCGTACGTAATTGGTGGTGTTAAAATCCAGGAACTCTTCGTTGCATATGAATCAAGATACCCCATTATGCTGGTATGTGAGTTTATATTTATTTAACCTTTTCCGCTGATGCTAGGCATGCAATATCTAGCTTAATAATACTACCTAACCGGTGCTTTGGTTTTACAAGTAGATGCTTGTAAATATGTGATAAATATACAGGGTGTTTCAAATTCGACCCTCACCATTGGAATCTCGGAAACTGTAAGAGATACGAAGTCGCTTATATGGGGGCAAGGGTAATCAACAAAATGCCGCTTAGAAAGTTTTTAATTCTGATTTCAAAAATGTATAATATCTCATACATTGAAGCTGCCACCTCCTAGTTATTCCAAAAAAACAGAATTTTCTAGGTAGGCCTTGAAATTATCTGATAGTCATTTGTTTCATATACCAGACGATACCTCAAATTGAACCTAGTTACAGAATTTGGAAGACTGGAAAGAAGATAAATGAATCGAGCAGTGAACGCACACATATTTTGAACATCTGCCATGATTTACGTCTGCTGATTTGTGATTATTATTATTATTAGCATCAATGAAATGTTCATGCTTTGTTCAGGTTTCACCATACCTTTATGTCGAATTGAAAATTGGACTACGCCTTCTTGTAGAGGAGAATGAGTAACAATGACAAAATGCAATTTATTTTGAAATCCCATCTCAAATAAAGTCAGGAAGAAATATAAGTAATTTTGGGATAAATCAGTATGTGAAACAAATTACTATCTGATAATTTCAACTAGAAAATTCTGTTTTTTTTTAAATAACTAAGGTTTGGCAATTTCAGTGTATAACGTATCATACATTTTTGGAATTAGAATTGAAGACTACATTCATCCGTGTAAAAATTTAGTAATGCGTCCATAAGAAAAAATAAAGATGTTCCTGAGATACCAACGGTGAGGGTCCAATTTGAAATACCCTGTATAGAAGCATACTAGCGAATTTTAAATAAATATTTGTTCTTGAGACACATGTGATTCCCAATCATAGCATAAAGGACTTCGAGGCCAGATACTTATTTATAATGAATTATTGATTATTATCAGTGAAAGAGTTACTATATTAGCATCCAATAAATACTATATAACAGGTGAAATCCGAGTTCTTTTACCAGCCATAATTACAGATTCTATGGCATAATCCCGTATTTCGGCTACTTCTTTTAACGTATCTTATTTTTCTGGAAAAACTAAATGCTCGGTATTTTGCCAGAAGCTCCACTAATTCTATTTTAATCGATTTTCAAAGAAATATTGTTCGTGTTTTCCGAAAAAACCTTTCACAAAGGCTCGTTTTCAGCTTTTCACATAGAACGTGAATTTAGTAATAGGCGGATCTCGCTTTCCCCGAATTGTATGCAATTTTATTACGCAGTCCAACAAAAGTCGTCTTACTCAGAAACCAAGATACTTTCCCAGAGGTATTCGATGCGTTGCATCCGACATATAGAGAATTAAACAAAGTGAAACTCAGAAAAGTTTTGAAGTGTCATATCTCAGCGAAAGAAGATAGTTAAGCAAATATGGTAATATGGTATTAAAAAAAAAAAAAAAATTCGTCATGCCACATAACCTCAAATATAGGTAAAAATCGCAATTTTTGAAGTTTCAGGTTAGAAAATCTCGGAAACTAGAGCCAGCTGAGAAATTTGGTCCTCAGATGCCGATACAGCGCATCAAAACCTTTGGGAAAGTATACTCTGGTTTTTGGGTACAAATTTTTTCGGTTGTGTTATTCATATTTCCTTAACATATTTTATATTTAAAGTGCACTAGACCTACCTGAGGATTTCACGCCTTTAAATAAAGAAATGTACAACATGCAATATATCAACATTAGGCAAACTACGAGTTGCCATTTTGGATATCCCATTTCGTGGAGACCATTGCTTGCTTGCATTTCCAAAACTGCACGACTGAAACACGAGATATTATTGTAAATTTCAAAAGTAAGATTTTCACGATTTTAACTTCTTGTTTTGGAAAACTTTGTGAATCCCAGAAAATTTGCGCTCAGGTATAGTGGAGGCAGCACAAAACTTGCACAGTGACGGTCGATCGTTCGACAGTCAATGGAGAGTTCATGGAGTAAATTTGCAGTGTTTTTTTGTACAGTTTCTAACGGGTAATTCATTTAGACGATTTTTTTCGGAAGAAAAAATGTACAAGTTGTTTCCTAATTCAGTAATAATATTTAAGGGGGCGAGTTTTGTGTGCATTTCAAGAAAAAAACTTCTTATGTACCTGCTTAAGATTTTTTTGGCGAAACATTTAAACCCCATATACATCAATATCATTCATATATATATACTTACTTGAAAAATTCTGAAGCAGGGGTATGTTTACTAGTTCTAGAGGAATCATTTAGATTTTTTGTGTGAGATTTATTCGTATCGTTGATCGGTATGCTTTCCCAACATTTTTCCGTGTTCCATGTATTGTTACAGTGCATCCATGGCAATTCTGCTGAAACACTACTCCCCAAGAAATATAGAGCCCAAGCTGAAAATTATAATCACTTTTATACTAGAATAGTGTTTCCCAAATTTATCTAAACCCCAATCCCTTTTTGTTAAACTCATTTTTCACGACTCCCTATTTCCCCCTGCTCATCACCCAAACCAAAATATCCCCAAAAATAGCGTGTCTATTTTACAAGGGACAAATTTTACTCTACTATTTAAGTTCAAACTAGATACATTGAAAAGAGTTCAACCATTATTTTAATAATTGTAATTTGTCCCAGTAGATTTATCAGTATTTACGTTTATCTGTATATGATTTTTCGGATGAGCGCATCGGAAACAATGGGTATGTCCTCTATTCTGTGGAGCCCACTTAACCAATTAGTCTTCAGCATATATATGAGCAGTAACCATTGCCGTTGCCAACGATCAGTTGGGCACAAAATACAATTAATTGTTAATTGGGAAATTGTCAAATTTTTAGGCTTAAGTTGACGCTTTTGACGATAAAATGAAGCTTTCGGCATTCTCTATGGAGCCTTCATCAGGATTCTGAAAACACAATTGTGATGCTAGCAACGAATACAGGACCGATTTAAATTGTTAAACAACTTACTCGTCGTTGAGGTTGCAGTCACAAGGTGTTTCAAAACGAACGTAGAGAAGATAGAACTTGTTATAAATATAAAAACAATAGGACGGAGACATCGGGCTTGTTGATAACGACCGATACCTTCGTTATATGTTAAAAATATCAATACACCCGAACATATTAAAAATTATTAAACATGAGAAGACATTTTAAGGAAACAATCGGAATGCAGTAAGCTTACCTAGAATGACGTTGTAGTAGAAGGAAACGTAAAATGCCACTAGGACCGCACAAAATCCAACACCTACAATATTAGAATAACATAATTTATAATTTTTTGTGGTTGGAAATAAGAGATAAAAAGCATTGCATAAATATACCTTTGAACAACGGACATATCCTCCATAAGCTAATTGGACCTTGTCTGTTGAATTGTCCTAAAATTAGTTCCATATAAAATAATGGAACCGCTCCAAATACTAACATTAGTGTGTACGGGATAAGGAAAGCACCTGGAAAAAACGACAAATTACTATCGACAATTATCAAACGAAAGTGAGTTTGTTACAGTTTTATTTGTTATTGATAGATAAGTGACTCGTATACACTAATCAATTTTCGATTCGTCATCAGTTATTAATTATTATGCATTTAAGTTTGGTACACCCGGCATTATACCAGCTATCAAGACAAATCTAGAGACCCCTCGTATGTCAAAATCCATCCGGCCGTATAAGGCATAGTCCGTGGAATAGAAATTTCAAGGTTGAAATTTTCTATCGAAATCTGCTATTTAGATTTTATAAATGTTCAATGTATCAGTGTAACTCGCACTGCTAAAACAAGTCCATCAACACTTGGTATGTAAAAATCCAACAAGCCGTATAGACTGCAGTTCGTGACATATAGCTTTCTCCACGTGCACACGCACGAAAACCATAACCGTTCTTCTGAGGTAGTCGAGTAAAAAATGAGCAGGAATCTCCGAAACGTCGAAAAACAAAGTTTAAGCGAATCTTATTTTTTCGTTTTTTGCCCGTATCTTCGCTGCCACTGTATCGATTTGCGTCATTGGCATACAACATTTTGAAAACATAGTGTCTCATTTTCGAAATTTTGTACGATTACAGTGTTTTCTCACCAGCGGCGTAGGAATTATAAGGAATTCTGAGCGCCGATTTTACTAACCCGGGGCGCAAAGTCTGTTCCCAGGGCACAAAATCCAAGCATAAAGCGTTTTTGAAGTAACGTATTTAATGAATATACTCGAATTCATATTAACTTCTAGAAATACATATATCGCTTGCTCTGGCTACAAACACTTATTTTTTCATTTCATCAAATCAAAAGAAGCATTTGCGACCCAATCTCAAATACGACCAGCTAAAAAGTAAAATTTGATCAAACCTTTGTTGATCAAATCTGATTCAATATCTACATTGATATGACAACAATTACTGAGCATTGTATTGAAAATAACAGTGTCAGTACTTACCCGAGAGAGTTCATTTTTGTAACCAGCAACAAAAACCTATTTTTTCTCTTTATAGGCTTGCATCAGGTCTGTTCAACGTATTCGAATAGACTACAAGGAGCCAAGCCTGTTTGTCGAAAGAAATAGCGTAGTTTTAGTGGATACTTTTGACTCATTCGCCTACCAATACCTACCAAAGAGATCAACACAATACTTACCGGTGGAAACATCTGCCTACATTAGGCGTGTGCTGCTCTTTGCAAATTATATAAAATAAAAGGATCATGTCTTAAAATTATCCAACACCACAAATATCTGCAAACACTCGCACCTTAAAAAAATAACACTAAATATACGATTGAGAAGTGCACTTCTGATCCTTAGTACAAACTATGAGAATTAGTAGACAAACAAATCCATGACTGGCTCCTTCTACCTTGTGCGAATTGGTTGGGTCAGTACAACTAGATCATCGGTTTTTGTCCTTTCTGTGCAAAATTCTGCTTAATTCTTTCAGGACATAAATAAAATGACAGAATGTTTATTCTTCAACAAACATCGAGTAAATAAGTATTTAATTACTTGATTACCGTAAACCCTGTTTAATTCAACTAGTTTTATGTCCAACATGTGTTTAGAGTCAATTTTCATGTCTTGTACCAACATGGAGCCAATGATACCGCGGGCGCGCTCTACTGGACGGTGTGACAACTGTGCCACCTCTGACTCTGCCTTGCCACCATAATGTAATGTAATTTTATTTATGTCTTCAAAGAATTTATTTACAAAAATTTTGCATTGCAAGGATAAAAATAAGGCAGCAGCGGTGGCCGCAATCGTAGACTCTTCGGTCTCCTGATCCGTCGCCGTGCGCTGTGCGGGTTCGAATCCCGTCCCAGGAGAAATTTTTCTCTTGGCTATGGATGTTGTGATTGTCCGTAGGTGGTAGACGGTCTCTGACTGTCGAACGCGGAGGTACCACCCGCTGGATCTCGTAGGCGGAGCCAGAATGTGTGCATGTTGAATGCACAGGTGTTCCTTCGCCAGAGCCCCCTTTCCCCTGTATCCCCGTATAGCCCCACGGTACCCAATGGGTGCTTAGGCCTTAGGCCTTCGTGGTAGTTGGAGAATAAAAAAATGACCTATCTGGTTTGACTGACCTTACAAGAACCTATAAAGAGAATAGATTTTTCCAGTTGTTTCCTTAATGGGCATTGATGAATTGTTACAAATATAACATTTTTTTCAAAATTATCTCTCTCGGGCAAGTAGTGATACTGTTATTTTCGATAAAATCCTCAGTAGTTTCTGTCACATCAATCTAAATATTGTATTAGGTTTGATCCACATTCCGAGCAAGGTGCAAACCCCTCTTTTTGATTGGTTGTGTTTTTGCATCTTGGTCGCAACGCTTGATACCCGCGGGTCAATAGTGAAAGCGGGTCAAAAGATTCAACTTGTTTTGGTAAGTTTCTGATTTACAGAAGGCAGAAAAATCATTTTTGTGATTTTATAATACTTGAGCTTTGTTGAAAACCCGACATACGTCAAACGATTAGTTCAGTGGTTGCTGAGATAACGCGGTGATGAAGTGAAGAAGTGAAGGCAGGCAGATTGATTGACTTTAGTTTTGATCGATAGTGTATGTGGGGTCATTATCTTGATTTCTGCATTTAATTGATGATAGTAATATCCTTATTTCTTTTTGATAGCCTCATATACCTCGGCATAAATATTCTTATGAAAAGCGGATAGAACGAAACCCCGAGGGGATATTTAGAACGTAGGCTAACAGCATTAGATCGGATTTCATGCCTCATTGGATAGCAGCTTTTTCCATTAGTGCAAGAAAGTTTAGATCTAGAGAGCCGGTTTCATACCAATCGTCAGCAACCATGGCCAATCGGTTCATCTAATTTTAAAATGCTGTAAAATTATGTATTATTATACATCTGGTAACTCTCGTTTGATAAGAATGACACCTTTTGATCCCCAAACTGTTACGGAATCTGTCTTACTTTGAATTTCTCACCAAATTACTCGTCTAGGATTTCCAAACAAAATTGAAAAAGAGCTACATATTTTAGGAAAGATGATTTAATTGAAAATTAATCATCTCATGTGCGGATTTTTTTAAGTGATGTTTTTCATGTCGCTGCAGATACCTTGGAATAGCAGTCTCAATTTGATCTACTTTGCAACAAAAACAAATAAGCGTTATTCTTCGGAATATTAACGTAAGCTTTGCTCTTGAGGTATAGATGCGTGTCGATTCTGTTCTCTATCACCAAAGCGAGATATTAATAACTTGTGTGGAAATAGCTAAAGAAGTTGAGCATAATGACCCCTGGGGTACCACGTTGCTGAAATTACGTATCAATTATCTCTACTCCTCTCGCAGTTTCAAAGAAAATTACCCGGACATTTGCTTTGGTGGCAATAGCATAGACATCTCGTTCACCAGATTTGATACCTATTGACTTTTCCCGTGTGGTTTCGCAGGAGCAAAGTTCACGTTACTAATTCGATGAATGTCGCTAACTTGAATGGAAATACTGATTGCGAAATAAGCGATATTGAGCATGTTATGCTTCGGCATTATATGCGATGAAATCAGTGTAATATTTTTAATCCCACTTGGAACTCCCAAATCTTTGGGTCTACCGTATTTTCAATAGCTTTCCTTTATGGCCGCACATTCACCATTTCCTAACATATACACGGTTACACTTTCACCATTTCTGAGTTTTTTTTTATATTGAAGCAGTCGCGTAAAAAGAAACCTAAATACCGGGGCTTCGCTACTGCTATAAGGAACTTACTTGTTAATCCTACGTTTGAACTGCCTGTGGTCAGTAGAACTGGGAAAAACATCGTTAGGTAGACTGTTCCACAATCTCGACACCATAGGAACGAAGAAGCGGACATATCGGCCAGTTCTCGATGTGCAAAGTTCGACAGAGTTGAAACGGGAGGCAAAAGCCGAGCGGATCCATCTAACAAGCTCAGTACGCGGCAGCATCATTGAAGAAGTGTCATTGATCTGTGTAACAGCCGTTCTCTGAGCAGCATCCAGAAGGGACAATAACATCGGGGAGGCAGAACTCCAAAGATGTGAGTAGTACTCGAGGGTCTTATCTGGACCTTGTACAGAGTGAGGCGGTTGAGCGAATAAAATTACATTTAAGCCATAAGTAAATAACCTAGCTTTTAACCGGCAGCTGTTACGTTTGGCGAGATGTGCATTTGGTGATCTGAACTCCGACCAGCTGAAATGAATGGTTCTGTGGCAGAACTCGGGCATTCATCGAAACCAGATGAGCGCTACTGTTATTTGGGAGCATTAAATTGTACCTGATTGTTGAGTGCTCAATCGCGACGATCTCCACGTATTTCGTCAGAGAGGATGTTGCTGCTACTCTTATTTTATCATTGGCAAAGTTGTTGATGAGATTGATCGTACAGCAGAGGAGGTCGTTGATATGTAATAGAAATAACATTGGGAAACACCCGCGTTGTTATTGTGTGATTAAGAAGATAGACCGTCAAGTACTTCGCATATCCTGCGGTCGGAGTGGAAGTCACTCATCCCTCTGCAAAGCATCTCGGGAAGACCATAGAATGGAAGTTTGTGTAAGATGATGGTATGCCACAGCTGATCGAAAACTTTTGTGATGTCCAGAGCATGATCCTCGCCATAAGACTGTATGAGTTTACTCCACAATGGTGTGACGTAAACCTGGAAATCCCCCCTTGATCGATGTGTGGAAATCTATACTGCCTGTCGCTAATCAAGCAGTGGTGTTTGAGTTACTCTAAGCTCCCTACTTATCACCTTACTGATAACGTAAAGCAAATGTCTGTAGTTGTCTTGGTCGGTCTTAAATTCTTTTTTTTGGACAGGCTGGACATGAGCAAATTTCCAATTCTCTGGGGTATAACAGTAATTGCACTTTCACCGTAAACACCATCTGTGGCAACAGCGTCTCAAACCAGATGGTTTCAGGTGTTTGCAACACGGTATTCTCGCTCAAGATAAGTCGAATGCCATTGTGTTTCTTCGTTTTTAATTCAAAGATATTGTCTTTATATAATTTTTTTTCATAATTATACAGGAATCGTAAAAACCATAATGATAGGACTCTTTTGAGTGCGCTTTTTTGAAACGCATGGAAGTTACGTAAAAAAATAAGTTTTCATTTGGAATGTACGAGGGATGTCTATTAAGTTTTGCATATAGAAACATAGTAGGCCGCGCGGATCGAACGTCAGTACTGAATCTTAACCTCACTCTTTAGTAAACTTAAGTTCAAAGATTCACAACAATACCTGCAGTGTTTTCACTACAGTGAATTTGTAAGTGTCACCAAATCATTAGAAAAATGGAACTCAACCGAGAACATTTTCGCGCCATAATTTATTACAACTTTCAGAGACAATTATCGCAACAAGAATGCCTTGCTGAGTTACTGTCTGTTTTCGGCATCGAAGCGCCACATCAGTCGACAATTTCCCGTTGGTATGGAGAATTCAAACGTGGACGGGTGAGTCTTAGCGACGATCCCAGGGTGGGTGCACCAAAAACGGCAGTCACCCAGGAAAACGTCGATGGTGTGCGCAAACTCATCATTGAAGATAGACATGTGACATATCGCGAGATTGAGGCGTCTTTGAAGATCTCAAAGACCTCAATTCAAAAAAATTTACATGAAGAATTAGGAGTAAGAAAATTAGTTTCTCGCTGGATACCCCACCTGTTGATTGAAGAGTTAATTGGTGCCAAAAAACGCTTGACCGTTTCAATTCCGGAAACTCAAAAAATGTGTACAGCACTGTTAGTGGTGATGAATCGTGGATTTACTGTTATGAACCAGAAAATAAACGACAGTCGGCTGTTTGGGTGTTCCAAGGTGAAGAAAAGCCAACAAAAGTCATCCGTTCTCGAAGTGTTTCGACAAAGATGATCCTGACATTTGTGTCAAAAGCTGGTCATATTGCAACAATTCCTCTTAATGAGCAAAGAACTGTTACTGCGGATTGGTATGTCACCATTTGTTTGCCAAAAGTCATCATCGAGCTTCGAAAAATCAACCCCGAAAGAAGAATCATCCTCCACCAAGACAATGCAAGCTCGCGCACAGCCAAAAACAAGGCAGTATTTAACGGAAGAAAACGTGGAATTATTGGACCATCCTTCATATAGTCCCGATGTAAGTCCTAACGATTTCTTTACTTTCCCGAAAATTGAAAACAGACTGCGTGGTCAAAGGTTCCAGTCACCAGAAGAAGCAGTTGACTCATTCAAAAATGCCGTTTTGGATCTGCCAGCAAACGAGTGGAATAAGTGCTTCTAAAATTGGTTCGAGCGCATGCAGATCTGTATTAATCTTCGTGGAGAATACTTCGAAAAACAATAAAGTCATTTAAAACTACCTACCGTGTTGTTTTATTTCCATATGCAAAACTTGAAAGACATCCCTCGTATACCACGTTTCGGGGTATGTAAAGAAAAAGAAATTTCTGTTTTTCTAAGAAAAGTTATGAGAATATTATTTTTAACGATTTTATGTTGAGAATTACAAATACTACTGCTACACGTATTCTTACCAAAGGTCTCGCACTATCATTTCCATATCTTTCCGCATTCGAAAATATTCCTGCAATTACCAGGCATTGTCTGAGGGCTTTATAATCAGGAGTCAGGTTTTATTTTTCTGATCTACGAGGGATGACCCAAACATAACGGTAAAGTTTTGTAGACAAAAGTAACTAATTTTGATGTTTTCATGTTCGGAGACATTAGTACTTAAGTTCGTTAATACTTGTTAGAGTGTTCTGGGTTTGATTATTGCGTACTAGAAGTAATATGAAAATAGACATACAGTTAAAAAATATAGGACCGGATTCGTTTTCTTTAGCTATTTGATTTATAACTAAAATGAACCCATTTTAAAACTAAACATTGAAATGATTGCCCCTCTTTTGGTTTTTTATTCCATTTTTTGCGAAAGAATAAATTCATTGTTTAACTTACAGGACGGTACACTTTATAAAATTCATGCAAATGAAAAAACTGAATCCGGCCCTGGATTTTTGAGATCCAATTACATCTTGAATTAAATTTCAAGCAGTATTTTATAAAATGTTGATGATAGCAAGTTGTCAACCTTTGACAGTTTGGTGCCACATAAACTGCTAAAAATGTGATATTTGAATGAACAAAAATCGTTAACTAAAAAACTAAAAGTACCATTCATTGGTCTTTTTTACATAGACAGATATTTCAGCATTCAGGTTAGACGGTGTTGATTTTGAAGACATACAAAAAACTTGAGAGAAATCGAGTCCTGCCGTGGATTTTGTAACTGTCTGTCTAGTTTTCCGTTACTCCTAAGCAACTGTGTTATCTTGGAAAATTTTGGTATCATGTATCTTGAAAAGTGACATTATATCGATTTTTTTGACATTATACTGTTTTTTTTGACATTATGTAGGTTTTTCTACAAGATGTTAACTTAGCACTTAGCTGTACGTGTTGCTTAAACGTCATGAGGCTTTATTTATCAATCTTTGGCTCTGATGTTATGTAAAATCTGTTGCAGAGATGGCATTACTGTAGGTCTAAGCTGTAAGTTGTATGTGTTGATGATAATTACATTGGATTCTTGTCTCAAATACATTTAATTGAGATTCAAAGCTAGAAATTAGTTGCCCAGCCACTTTTCCTTATACATTCTGCAAATTACATACACAAATTTGCTGAATTTCAAAAATGAGACAGATCAGAAATAATTATACTCACTGTACATTGTCGAAGTACAAGCCATATACTAGTACATGCTAACAGTAATCACGCACAACGCGGGCGCGGTGATGATTTCCCGTAATTCTCCTCAGTTTTTCGTAATTTATAACATAACCTCTCTTTAGGAAGCACAACATATAAATCACCCGTCATATTCAGCATATTCAGTAATTATTTTCTCACACAGCAAATATCATTGATTTTATACACATGCAGACCAATACACGTAATCATCCAGATGCGATCTTGCTATTCAACCAACTTTCTTCTCAGAGATAAAAACTACAGACACGGATCACTCCTCACAAAACTATGCAACCAATAATGCGTGTAGTTTAGTTGAGTGACTCCTCCATAGATGGACGTCCTAGTGAGCAAACGTGGAATGACTATTTGCGCCCTAAAAACTACCTACAGTATATCCAGATAAGAGATAGACCGGATGTAAACAAAAGGTTCGGGTGATGTTTACGCTAACTCCGCCGTCTCGACGTAAAACAGGAGCCCTCATTGGTCAATTCGCAATTAAATGCCTATGCCGAGCGGCAGAGCAGTCGTATCAAGGCAGAGTCACATTCAGGTTCAGACGTGTTACGTATGTCGTGTGCATCATTGCAATTTGATATTTCTTTGGACGTTTTTGTTTGTTATCTTATTAAGTTGTTGAGTTTGTCGTTGTTATTGTTATACCTTGTTATTGATTGTTATTGTTATCAACTGCTTGCGCAAAATGCCTAGTAGTACAGATACTGCCGATGAAGTTGTAAACTCCTGTAGTCCACCTAGGAAACGCTCTAAAAAAAGACACCTGAGTGCAGAAATGAAAGAGGTCATTTTGAATATATATAAGATCGAGCGCGAGGAGAACGAGGCATCAACCATCAAAGAAATTGTTGTGAAGGTTTTTCACAAAGTTGGGGTGTGTCGCGCATCAGTGTTTAATGTGTTAAGACAATACAAAAAAAATCACACCTTTTCTGAGCCAATGACCAGTAAACATCGCAAAAGTATTGTTAAATCATTGGATGAAGCTGATAAGCATGCGATTAGGAGGAAAGTGCATGAATTCTTCTTTAGGAATGAAATACCTACTATAGATAAAGTACTGCAGGAGGTAAATGGAGATACAACGTTGCCAAATTTCAAACGATCAACTGTATTAAGCACGTGAAAGTCAAAGCTGAAAAGAGAATGTGGGAACTGGACAATATTTTAGAGGAACAAGTCGAGCCATTCATTATTGACGTTGGTGCTTCAGGCAGTAGCGATGATGAAAGCTCATCAAGCCCATCTTTCCAATAAAAGATGTCGTTCATCAAATTCGGTAAGTTATAAGTAATTATAAAGCTACTGTATTTTTTAATTAATTATTGACATTTTTGAACCCATTTTGGCAAAACCTATTCAAGAATCTACTTTCTGACAATGTTCAACCATGCACATTTTTTTACGTTTTGAACGTTTTAATTTGGTTACATATTTACCTAGAAATCAAAAAATATACTAATCAATATTCTAAAAGCAATTTTAAGAGATATACGATTATTTTTTATTTAGGCTAATTTAAACGCCATTTTGAGATTATATTCGACTGTATTTCACCAAACATCAGGCGGCATCCGAAGCTGGAAATCGAACCGAAAATTTTGAAACCCTTATGTATATTTACATCATTATATATTTCTTACCCCACCCCCACATGATCCTATATCCATCACCAATCGTATACACATCGAATTGTGCTAATTTACTACAAAGTTACGCAAAGCAGCATCTACTATCCAAAATATGTACTGCGTGACTCTTAATACGTCCCTGCCGAATGTTACAGCGTTCGATGATCACGTGGTCTTGTTTATGTCCGGTCTATCTCTTATCTGAATATACTGTAGTCTGCAAGTTGACATCTTATCGGTTTTTTTGACGTTTTGTAGGTTTTTTACATGATACACGTGCGGTTTAATAGTGCCTGAGATCTGTTTTGATAAAACACTATCCGTAAAAACTTAGTTTGGAGCTTTTTTATTTTCAGGCATGTAAAGGTCTCGGTCCATACTACCTACCATTTAAGGAAGGAACATCCTATATTAATTTTTCATCACAGATTTTTATTAAATACTTACCCCCGCCATTTCTGTAACACAGATATGGGAACCTCCATACGTTGGCCAGGTCGACCGCAAAACCGATTATTGACAAAAGAAAATCGCTGTTGGATCCCCATGTTTCCCTGTTATCATCTTCATTGTTTCTATCTGTGTTGAAAGAGTCTGGGTCTGCTTCACCTGCTTGACTGCTACTTGTCGATAAGACAAAAGATTCGTGCTCATCTTCTTCAAGTTGCACGTGGAGGTCTTCTGGAAGTACAAAACGGTGTAGGTATCAGTTTGGACGACTCTGATAACATCTAAAGAATAACACAAACCAAGAATACTGATAAGTTTTTTGTTTCCGATCTTTCAAGGGAAATGAGCGGAACTGTCAACCAAATGTTTAGTACTGATTGATGCTATTTCGTCGCGTTCCATTCCAATACGAAACGTGCGAATTTAGTTAGAAATACATAGCTTCGTCAGTCAATGTGTGGATAACAATCTTGAATAGCATAGCAGATAGTCATTATGTCTACTTACTTTTTCTCAGTGTGCAGGTTAAGATGAGGTTTGAGCTGGAGTTGTGGTGTTTGGGTTTACCTTTGCCTGAAATAAAGAGCAATAAGCTTGTTTATTTGAGACAGATCTTGAGATCTTGCGCTATTTTCACGCTATGTACAAGGTCTGTCGCAAAGTAGGGGAGACCGGGGATGATTGACTATAGGGGTAGGTAGACTAACCGCCAAAAACTCGTCAACGATATGAGTATTACGTCATCCCGGCCCAGCCGCACATTATTCTCCAACCTCCGCTCAGTCGTCCGGAGCGCCATGTCACGGATGCACGCCGTTTTCGAACAGTGACCCGAGATTTGTTTTCGTATCATGTAAGTAATATATTCATATTCCATATTTTTCCATCTGACACTTACGCATTTTATGTTTAACATTTGCCTATTAGTCAGAGTGTTTCGTGAGTGCATATTGATATTTCATGCATTATTTCTTAAGTTGATGGCAGTGTCACCCATGCCATTGAATCTCAAAATGGCGTCTGGGGTTGTAGACTAACTTCTTTCGGGGATGGTTGAATAGTTAGTCAACCAACCCCAATATAATTTGAAGTTTAAAATATCTCGTAATTAAAAAGATTATTAGAGTTTTAATATTCATTTTGTTACAGTTCAATGAGGAGCTATAAAAGAAGGACTGAACGAGCTGATACACCAAACGATGTCCTAGAAAGAGCTTGTCATCTGCTAATTTTTGACACAAAAAGTATTAATGCAACTTCAAAACAATATGACATTCCCTATAAGACATTACATCGAAATTGGAATGTAATCCGAACTTGGCGAGAGCAGAATTAACTCAGTGGGATATATTAAAAATAGGCAAGTTTTCACTGCTGAAGAAGAAGAAGCTTTAGCAAGTTATTTAAAGAAAGCCGCTGATATTTATTATGGATTGACACCATACGAGACCCGAAAATTAGCATGTTAGTTCGCCATTAAAAGTAACAAAGCCTGATTCTTGGAGAATAAAATTGTTAGCTGGCGAAGATTGGTTAGGCTCGTTTCTCAAACGTCATCCTTCTTTATCCATAAGGACACAACAAACCTTTCAAGAGCTACGTCATTCAACAAACATAAAGTCAGTATGTTCTTCGCTAGTTTAATTGCTGTTTATCAACGTTTGAATTTAAGCCCTGGTGATATCTGGAACGTTGATGAAACAGGTATGACAACCCTGCAAGTACCTAATAGAGTAATAGCACGACGCGGTGTTAAAAATCTAGGCAAGATGACATCTGCTGAAAGGGGTAAACTGGTGACAGTTGCAGTAGCTGTGGGAAATATAGTTCCACCATTTTTCGTGTTCCCATTACGTATATAAGTCCATTTTGTTAGAGGTGGCCCTATAGGATGTGAAGGTGATGCTAATCCTTTTGGCTGGTTGAAAGAAGAGAACTTTATGAAGTACGTCAAACATTTCGTCAAACATGTTAAACCTATTAAAGAAAAACCTGTACTTTTGTTGTTGGATAACCACGACTCTCACTTATCATTTGAAGCTTTGGATTACTTTAAAACTAATGGGGTGACAGTTTTATCATTCCCTCCACATTGTAGCCACAATCTACAACCTCTTGACAGATCTGTGTACAGACCATTGAAAAAGTATTTCAACCGAGCATGTGACAACTGGCTGGCTAGTAACCCGGGAAAGACAATTTATGAAATACCGGAGCTGGTTAAAACGTCACTACCATTGCCTGCTACAATTCAAAATATTCAATCAGGATTTGGAGTATCCAGGATTTCACCATTGAATGAAAACATTTTTCCTGACTCCCAGTTTAGTGGTCCTTATGTGACAGATAGGCCGATGCTCACTTCCCCTGATGGTGATAATCCTTCAGCATGTAATGTGAGCACAGTGTCTGTTCCATCGACTTCCGATGCATCTAACAGGTTGTCTACTAAGATCTTTGAGGACTGAATGTGAGACACCTTCTCTTTTTGACGAAACATTCAATTCTGTATTTGAACCGGAACAGAGAAAACCTCAAAAGACCAGAAAACGTTCATTCTACAGAAGCAAATGTGCCCCCATCTTTACACAATCTGAACCTTTCCTCAACTTCATCGGCAACATTTGAAGAGCTTAGACCCTTTCCAAAAGCGGCGCCACTTTTAGAAAATAGAAGAAATATTCGGAAACGTAAAGGTACTATACGGTGTCCGCAAAGTTGGGGTTTTCCTTTACACGACATGTAGATCTTGAAAAAATAAGCAATTTTTCTTAGTACAATATACACCAATGTCTTAAGGAAACCGAGATAAAGGGCTCTGCAACATCAAAAATATCTGAATACCGTCCTGCAGCCGCGACATCACCGACTGGTACAAGGTCACTGACTCCACCCGACGACAGAACTGGGTCGGAGTCAGTATGTCAGGTCAGTATGCAACCTTCAACAGACGGTTACGGTCACGCGGGTACAGGTAATCGCGTAGACGAGAATCCCTCAACAATCACTAGAGACTTGGCTAGAGAAGTGCAAGTATCAAAAACTAAAGTGTGGCAAACGCTGCGTGAAGAGGGGCTGTATCCGTTTCACGTCCAACGTGTACAACCCCTTCAACCTGACGATTTTCCAGCAAGAGCACGGTTTTGTGAGTGGTTGTTGCATCAACATGACAATAATCCGGACTTTTTGAAGTGCATATTGGTGACAGACGAATCTACGTTCACGCGTAATGGGGTGAATAACTTTCGCAACACTCATGTTTGGTCAGTAGAAAATCCACGCTGTCCGTCGGGCACATTTTCAACAAACATTTTCGGTGAATGTTTGGGCTGGCATGGTGAACGGTATGCTCATTGGACCATTTATTCTCCCAAATCGATTCGACGGAATGCAATACCTAGACTTTTTACGCAACATTTTGCCTTCCTTGTTAGAAGATGTGCCATTAAGTGTAAGACAATCAATGTGGTTTCTGCGTCTGCTCGGTAGCGCATCAGCTGATTTCATTTTCTGTTGGAGCGGTATGATTTCGGGCAGAGACGTACTTAGCCCTTCTCGTCAACTGGAGAGTGAGTACTTTTTCCTTTATTTTTTTTACTTGGTCGCCCTCGTTTCACTACACATTACCTTTGTTATTTCAAGGGTAGTTGTTTCTGAAAAGGAAAACCCCAACTTTGCGGACGCCCTGTATATACCGATACCCCGGAAAAACTAAATTTTGTAGTAGATATGAAAAACAAAAGAGAAACATATAAGAAGAAAAAAACAGATACAAAGGACAGCATAGAAAAAGGAAACGGCAAAGGAAAAGGAAATGGTAAAGGAAAAGGAACGGATAAAGTTGATGAGATTGCGGATGACACCGTAGATGAAAATTACGCCAATGCTGTAGATTCAGATGACGAGAGTACGATTTGTTTAGAGTGCACTCGATAGTGTTCCAGGCGAAAAATGGATTCAGTGCATAACCTGTAAGTTATGGGCTCTTTCCAAATGTGTAAGAGCTGATCTAATGTTTTTTGAACGCAAACATTGCGCTTCTGATATTGAAGACTTATATTATAAGATATAAAGGAACTGTTCAATTAACGAAACTAATAAATGTTTAAATAAAACCAGGAGTTGATAGTTTTGTTAAAGACTTGTTGTAAGATAATGTCTGTAACTGATTAAAATTGTTTTCGAATAAAGTTTTGTTAAATTATAAAAAAAGTTTCGTAACATGACTCATCTCATAATTTGTCGGTTATTGATTCGTTAGTCCACTTACCCCGGGCATATAGTCAATCTACCACGGAACCGGGGTAAATTGACTAAGAATTGGTGTTCTGTAAAATGCGTTAAATTATGATCATTTTATTGAATAATGGACTAGTTTTTATATTTTTTATAAGTTCAATAGTTCTTCTATCCATTGATGCAGTTTTATTGTCTGTATGTATAAAAGCACAAAAAAATATGTATGATGTGAAAAACTAGTCAACCATCCCCGGTCTCCCCTAAACAGGACAAAGAAAAAAATGAACAAACATTTTTTGTTTCTGAAAATCGAATTTATTTTATTAAAAAAATCCTTAAGAGTTAATACAGCGATATGCACGCACCAATGAAAATACGGAGACTGCCTGATGGTTAAAATGCCATCTTTTGCAAAAAAAAATCGGACACAAGCGTCTATCGATAAGATGATGCATTATCATGCAATAAGCGCCAGCTTCCTTCTTCGCGATATTCTGCCCGAACCCGACGAATATGCGAGAGCAAACACCATCATAAAACACGGCATTAACCGTTTGGGCTGGTGGAAGGAATTCTTTGTGAATAATTCCCTTCGAACCATAGAAACAAGTGAACATTGTCTTCACTTTGGACTTTTCCAAACTGCTTTTTCGGATTTGGCTCACTTGGGTGCTTCCATTCGGTACTTTGACGCTTGGTTTCGGGATCGTATTGAAAACACCACGTTTCGTCACCAGTCATAATGTTGAATTCGAAGCAATTTTTGGTCATCCGTGGTCTTGTGCGGAACAAATCGAGAACACACATTTCCTATAGCCAAATTCTTGGTCAGAATGTGATGGATTGAATCTTAGAGATATTCAATTCCATTCATATGTATCTCAATGAAGATTTTCGATCATTTTTGATAAATTTACGGTTTCTGGCATAGTGACAAATTTTGGCTGGCCAACATGTTCGTCGCCTTCCAGCGACTCTCGACCGTCTTTGAACCGTGTAAACCACTCGTGAACTCTGCTACAAGATAAACAACCACCACCATACACTTGCATCAACATTTGATGCGTTTCGATTAGTGTTTGACCAAGGTTAACACCTAATTTTCGTACTTTTTTCGATGCTCATTTTTCGACCGGCGCTAAAAAGGTTCTGTCACTTTGAGCGCGATAACTCTGCCTAAAGTGGTTCATACAAGTCATTTCTCAAAGAGTTTCCCAGCGTCCCGGTCATACATGATGAGAACGGAATTGATGCTGCTCAATCGGAGTGGACAAGTTTCGTTCATCAAACTCTACAGCGTGCAAAAAGGTCTTGTCATCCTGATGACATTCGTA